AATCAGCATTTACAGAACAAATATATAATGGAAATGAACAGCCTTTGTTCTTTACTTTAGTTGTGTAGTTTACGTCTCACATAGATACTGTGAGGTAGCTGCGGATGAATCTTCTCTTCCTCCACATACTTAAGGAAACCCATATACTGCATGCAGTAAGTTATTTGAAGCTTCACCGCCAGTCAATGATGTAGACAGGATTTCAGACTTGCAATTCACTGCATTGCCTTATTCTTTTTAAATGTTGGTTTGTTTGTTTGTTTATTGAGATTGCAAAATGATTACATCACACATCTGCAACACAACTCTCTAAGACTCATAGTCATTGTGCAAGATGTGACAGAAATACACCAAGATTAGCTTTCTCCAAAATATGTGTTTGTGTTATCGAGGGACAAGTAAAAGTAAATATTTTGTATGTCGAAATGTCTTCAGTATTGCACTATAAACTGTTGGGTCCACTAGATGGCACTATGTTACCTTTTGAAATGCACGCAGCGCCTTAGTGCCTGGTAAAAAGGGATTGTTCTGGTTTGCAAGTAGAAAAACAGCTGACGCCAGGTTTTCATCTGACTCTCGACAAAATTATGGCGAGAAACCATAGTTTGGATAAGTCCCCTGCCTCCTGCCTCAGTGTTCTTGTTTATTTACGTCATTTATAACCCATGAGGACTTTGCACTGAAATTAAAACTTAAGGTCAGCTGAGCGTACGTGTAGGTAGGTATTCAGGAAAAAGTTTTCGACATAAACACGATTGAAGAATTGAGAGAGCTTGGATTTCAACATAGTATCCGTTGAGAGCTTCCTAGCTGCTTTTACCTCTTCAGCTTCGCTGTTTAGTTCAGGTGACAGGAATGTTTCATTGGGCTCTAGCTAATTTCTGTGAGTATTCTTTGAACTAGGTATTTAAAACAGGTATGAACATATGTGAGTTCCACTGTGGGCTGGGAGCCTCTGAGTGATAGGCACAATTGGCTTAAGTTCAAGCATACATTCCAGGATGGGGGGCGGGATAGCCTTTTAAAGAATTTCTTTATGCAATATAGTTACAAATACTCTAGGAACCCTATATCTTTATTATTGTTTAAGTCTTTTGAAAGGGATTTTCAAGTATTGGGGGGGGGGTTGTTTTGTTTTCGATAGGGAAGAACTATCTGCTATAATGACTTGGGAAGAATCATTTTCTTTGGAGTGCTGAGCTATTGTCTTAGCCCCATTTCCTTTCCCTGTCTATGTCAAAAACAACAACAGTATGACAAATCCACATTAAAGGAGGAAGGCTCTATTTGGCTCGCCTTAGCACCATTGCAAGCAAGTTCAGGCAGCAAGAACTTGAAGCAGCTGCTACTTGTTAAATCCACAGCCAAGACGTAGAGATCACTGAACACTGCATGCTACTCTTAAGCCTCCAAGAGTTCCCGCCTAGGGAATCTTGCCACCCACAGTGGACAGGTCTTCTACACAAATTAATATAATTCAGTCAATCACTACAGATGGTCACACAGGCCAATTTGATTGGACAATATTTCACCTAGGCTCTTCTGAAGTAAATCTAGATTCTTATATTAACAATTTAAAGTAAACTTCATGTTTTGTTAATGAATTGTTTGCTAATAAACATCATTGTTAATAAAAATTTTGTAAGATACTAAAAAGAAATGTATAAGTTAGCATATATATACATATATATGGGAAGGGTGTTAATTTATAAATATATATATTTCTTATTTGATCTGAATATATTTATTGGATCAAGGTATTGTTTAATCAGTTGTATAAACCCTTCTTGAGAATTTAGTATACCTTTCCTTAAGAAATATACTCCTCCTGAAGATAACAGATTCAATTCCTACAGATTGATAGTTATTTAATTTCTTGTTTTATTGTATATATTTTATGAATGTTCTCTTCTGAATACAATATATGTGGAAAATGTTTTCATCCTGTAATCAGCATGTGAAAGGATTAATACAAGGAAGACTTTAAAATTGTATAAAAACCATTTTATCATGGTGGATTTACTCAATAAAGTTTTAAACACTGAAGTCTTACTACTGTGCAGTAGAACTGTGTAGTTACAGGCATATTGGTACACATTAGTAATCTAGTCGTCCTTTATACTGATTCCTTTGAACTTCCTAAACTCCAGCAATCACTAGCCTGCTCTTTTCTTCTATGCTAGCAACACTTTTAGTGTCCATATATAAGAAATAACCGGGTATGTGTCATCTTATGTCTACTTACTTCACCTTGTAACACTTGGTCCAATTGCACCACATTTTGAATTTTATAGTTTTTATGGATGAATAATAATCCTATTGTGTGTTGTGATTATTCCATGTGTTTCATTTGTCCATTTATCTGCCCACTGACATTTGGTTGTTTCTCTTGCCTAACTAAGGCAGTAGTAGGACTTCAATGGACACAGTAGCACAGTAATAGTTATGTCTTACAGATACACCTTCCATTTGTTGGTTACATTTCATTTGCTTGTACAGCTAGAAATGGATCAATTGAGTCATGTGACTGGACCACATTTATCCTTTTGGGAACCTTCTCTATTATTCTCCTCATGGCTGTACAAATTGATATTTCTAACAATGCTGACTGAGAGCATCTTTTCTCCTCACTCTCATCAGCTCTTTAATATTTTTAACTATTTAATTTAAAATTTATCTGTAGTTTTCCCTTGGATAAAATGCTACCTCAGTGTGCTTTTGATGTGTACTTCCCTGAGGACTATGGTACTGAGAATTTCTTTTTCACTTCGATGTTCACTAATTGCATACTTTCTTTTGTGAAACGAAAATTTAGAGCATGCACACCCTTTCCCTTTCCTTTCTTTCCCTTTTAATTTATCTGATTTACTCATCACATAAGCTGTGGTCCACAATTTTCTTAACGTGTCTTTTTGAATCCCTCATTTATATCAGAATTATTTTCTACTGTGATTGAGTGTTCTGTGTGCAATACATCCTTTCACATTGAGTTTTCCTAGAATCACTGTTTTGAATTTTCTGGGGAAATTTTGTCAGGTTTTTTTTTTTTTTTTTTTTTTTTTTTTTTGACTCTAAGCTAGACAGTTATTGTTTCCCTTTGGTGGCATCACACTATCTCCCCGTCATGCTTCTCAGTATTTTAGGTTGATAGTGGGCCTCTTGGAGATACATTTTTTTTTCCCCAACAGTGTTACCTTCAAGTGTATCTTAGGGTGCTGGTTTGTTATATTCATGTTGCCTTGTCCCACTTGGGCACAGTGATGTCATTTATATAATGTTCCAGTGTTTCTTTATATTTTTTTCTTGATTACTTTTCCTTTTTTTAGTTTATTTTTCTTATTTTTCATATCGATCCCCGTTCCCTCTCCCTCCTTCCTTATCTCCCATCCTACCACCCCCCCCACCCCACAGGGAGGGTGGTGCCTTCCAGGAGGGGCCAACAAAATCTGTCAAGTCATTTGGAGTAGGGACTAGACTAGGCCCTCCCTCCTGTCTCTAGGCTACTGGAGTATCCCTCCATAGGGGATGTGCTCCCAAAGTAATTTGTGCACCTGGTTCCACTGTCTGAGGTCCCTTAGACTGCTCATTCCCTCTAGCTGACACCCATGTTCAAGGGGTCTGAGTCAGTCCCATGCTGGATTCCCAGCTATCAGTCTGGGGGCACATTAGCTCCTCCTTGTTCAGGTCAGCTGTCTCTATGGGTTTCTGTAGCCTGGTCTTGTCCTCCCTCTCTGCATCTGGATTCCAGTTTGGCTCAGTGTTTAGCTGTGGGTGTCTGCTTCTGTTTCCATCAGGTACTAGATGAGGGTTCTATGATGGTGGATAAGTTAGTCGGGAATCTCATTATCAGGGAAGGGCATTTCTGGTAGCCTTTCTACTGTTGCTCTAGCTTTATGCTGGGTATGTGCAGCAGTGTCATGGGCAAGGACACACCTAAGACACACCTAAGGGCAAGTGGATATAGTCTCGCATGGAGGCCGTGCTGCGGTAAATGCTTCGTTCTTATGACAAGACGTTCCTAGGTTCACATTAACTGCACGGTGGTATTCCTTTTCTTCACTTTCCCACAAGGCTACCGGGAACAGTCTACTCCACATCTGTTCCATCCGCACTGGCCCCCGGACTCTTCCCCAAATGGTCTCTGAACAGCAGCTAATTAGCCTAGTTGTTTTTAAAGAGGCATTTTTACTTGCATGGGTGTACAGGTGCTTGCACACGTGTGTGCACACGTGCACGTGCACCAGTGGAGGCCAAAGAAGGCGTCAGTTTCCTGTGGAGGTGACTTCAGGTGTGAGCCACCAGATTAATCGGTGCTCAAATCAGGCTCAAATTAGACTGGACTCTGATGATAATGCTATTGCTTCTCTAGCACGCAATTTCCCGTGGTTTCGTTGATGCCAAAGTACTGACCTCTTCGCACTTTTTTTGGTAGCTGTGCCTGACATGATCCATGGTACATAATTTACTATAAATAAAAATGCCCTTTAGAATTCTCATTGAGAGATTGGCGATTTTTCCTATTTCATTGCTTGAAAATTCTCATTTCCCAATCTGTGATTTAAATATTTCTTTCAGTTTTTAACTTATAAATAACTGCATAACTAAACCCTGTATAATAAGGAATAATGAATGTTGCATGTCTGTAGTCCTAGCAATTGGGAGGGTAAAGCAGGAAGTTCAAGACATCAGCGCTAACATGAACTTGATCACAAGTCTGAGTTTACGGGTCAGTCTGGGTTTATGGGGAAACACTTTCTCTCTCTCTCTCTCTCTCTCTCTCTCTCTCTCTCTCTCTCTCTCTCTCCCTCCCTCCCTCCCTCCCTCCCTCCCTCCCTCCCTCCCTCTCTCTCTCTCTCTCTCTCTCTCTCTCTGTGTGTGTGTGTGTGTGTGTGTGTGTGTAGAGGTAGTTATGACTTTATCTCCAAATACCAGTTTCCATGATATTCTGTCTCAGGAAGAATGTATAATACAAGTGTAATATTAGCAAACTTGTCTTCCAGGTGGTTTAGAATCTTTGAAATACCTTCAACAATTAACTGTGGATCATAATCAGTTAATTAGCACTAAAGGGCTCTGTGAAGCACCCACCATCATATACTTGGATTGTTCACACAATAATCTTACTGATGTTGATGGCATTGGAAATTGTGGATTGCTCCAAACTGTAAAGTTGCAGGGAAATTACCTGAGAGAGGTAAATTATTTAAAGCAACGGATGTCTGTAACTAGTGCAGTATCTTTCTTTTAATTGGTGTATCTACCGTACATTTTGAAAGCAACTTATTACTTGAATATTATTTCTTTATTTTTTTAATTAATCATCTGTATGTTACTTCCAAGTTACCATTGTTACTTTTTAGCCTTTAATTGGATGTATTAATTACGCAGAATACCAAGATTTGTTCTGATATTTCCATTCATGGGCACAAAATATTTTGACCATATTTTCTCAACACGTTACCTTCTCTTGTGTACTTCCAGCACAAGTTATTTCCCTTTTGAGCTTGATGCTTTTATATAATTTCTTTCATACCTATGTAGGGGGAAGAGAGGAAGAGAGAGGGAAAGAGAGTAGAGGGAGAAACTCTATGACTTCCCTGAGAGCTGTAAACAGGAGTGTGCCTAGGGATTTTTTTTCCCCAGAAGCATGTAAACCCCACTATTACCTGCATAGAAATATTCAGAGGATGGAATGGCTCCATAGGACATTTCCTTTCCCATGGCTATATGTTGCAAGTCTAACCTTGAGGGAGATTTTACACATCATCAGAGCTGCTTTTCATTCAAGAACGCAATAGCCACGTCGTGCCCTGGAGATAGTGTTCCAAATGCTCCATCTCGATTCCTCCGGCATTCTTTTACTCCTTCTGGGATGTTCTGTGAGCTTTGGAAGGGAAACTATAGATACCCCATTTATGGCCTGGCGTTCAACACTATTTTATTCTCCTTACTTTGGTGAGTGCTGAGTTCCTACAGTCACCAGCAAAAGCAAGCTTCTCTAAAACTGAGTGCAGCATTATGATGATTAGCTTATTTACTGAGAAGACATTTTTGAAAGGCACAGCATGTTTAGTGAACAAAATAACAGCATTGCCCTCCCCATTGGAGCTTAAGAACTTCCCATCTATGGGGTTTATACCGATTTTACTGTACCAGGCAGGAGTTTTCTACAGTAGAGGAGGCATGAAGTTCAGTCAGAAAACAATTGTGTACTCCAATAATGGACTGGCCGCTATTGAACTACTGGGCCCATTCCACTTGTCCTGTGAATACTGTTGAACATTAGGTTTTATGACAGTTCTCTCCAAGGAGCCTGTACGGTATTATGCTGCAGTCTCAAGGCTAAACACCAAAGAAGCTTTCAGCCCAGTTGCAGTTTGATTTCTTTAGATCATCTAACCAAGGCAGGTCGAGTCTTCATCAATAGGAATTTAACCAGATAGCCCTGGAGGGCGATCAAGAGCAGTGGCAATTGCCCATATTGTTTAGGGCCAACAACATGTAGAGAGGATCCCTCCTGAACTAGGATTTCCTAGATAGGGTACCATCAATAGAAACTCATTTTGTTTTTGATTATATTTGCTTATTATTTTTCCATACATCTTTACCCTTAGTCCCATGCAGTTCCCTAGCCCATTTCCTTGCCTCTTCAGGTTTAAACCTTTCTAACCCTAGCATCTTGCCTTCCATACTTGTATCTTCACATTCCACTACCCTTTCCTAAATATTTTTCCTGCTCATAGGCCCCTTTTCATTATTTTATCTTTTTATCCACTTAGGAAAAACCCCAAATGCTTATAGTGTTCTTTAAAGTTTAAGATAAGATTTTTCTGAATACTAAACTGTATAGCATATTTTTATTTCACTCAGGCACATAAGTTGGACCACATTTATCTATTATTGATATTAAATTGTACTTTGTTATGAGACTTCTTTCATAAAGACTATCAAACATAATTAAGATAATTAATAGGCATAATGAAAGACTCAATAATATACTTTGAGTTATGGTTTATTGCTTACAAGAATGTATATCTTTTATGCTTTGGTATAATATATACTTTTAAATTTGGTTAAAAATAGTTTTCCTGTTATCAAGTTACAAAATATATTTACTTGTAGCCTCCATCCTTAAAGAATCATGTTCTACTTCGAGAATTGCATTTGGATGACAATAGCATCTTAAACATGGAAATACTTTCTTCATGTTGGCTTCCTTTACTTCAGGAGCTTAGTATCTCTCAAAACAGGTAAGAATATATTTCATCTTAGGATAGTTATTTATAATTGCTGTGTGATGTACATAAACTAGAAAAATTGAGATTCTTGCAATTAAATCAGGATACATCAAAATAAATCAGTACAAAAGATACAAATATAACTAAAATTTTAAAAACTGAAGTAACTGAGTTACTAGATGCTTTGAGTAAAATTTCTTCATTATATTCTCTTCATCTTGTTTCTTCTGAAAAATATACCTGTAGAAACATTTCAAGATTGGTTTGTTTATGTTTATAGAGAATTAGTCTTTGGAAAATACAGAATGTAGGAAATTTAGTTCAAAGGGATGCCTTACTCTCTCAAATGGTATTTACTAAGTCACAAAACATTTTTAAATCATCTCTCAATGTTGTTAAAAATGGGTTTAAATTTGAATTCCATAAGAATATAAAGTAACACTTAAAATATCTTAACATTAATATAAAATGAGTACCTGAATCAAAAGACATATTAGAAACAAATCAAAGTAACACTACAATAAGTGTACTTCTTTCTTTCTGTGCTTAATATTCCACTGAAACCTGTGTATTATAGTATGATTAAGTTACTAACCACAGGCTTGTGGAGTAAGGTTGTTGGACCACCTATAACTAGAAATCACTTCTTTGAGTTACAAGGTGTTTACAAGACAAGTGAGAACGGACAACTGTGTGCATGTTTATAAACAATAAACTATACAAAAAAAGTGGGCACAACACACATATGTGACAGGGATAGTTCTCAAGCCACATTTCTAATACTCGAAAACATTTACATTAAGAAAATCATAGAAGAAAAAAATGTCCTTAGTTCTTTGACTAATTTAAGCTTACAGTGAAATATTCTTTTCTCCCAAAGTTAAAGTTAAATTTTAATGACAAAGCATTGGCTTAGTCATTCTCTATTGATAGTTATGTATCAAAGCGTTGAAAGGAAAATATTCACTTAGACCAATTTGGTTCTGAGAACTGATAACGATCATTGGACTAATTACTCCTAGCGGTCATTATTTATAATTTTGTTTTCTTAGATGTAACATTTGAATACTGAGGTGGGGGGGTTAATATTTCAAGTGGTATAACACCGAGTGATGTATGTGGCAACCTTTAAAACCTTCTTAGAGATCAAAAAATTAACCTTCATGGCTCCTAGATTTTATTAAAGTCGCTATGCATGTAGATGCAGCATAGGAGTAGAGAAAGACTGTTTAGAGATGGTGGGGGCAGGTATATACATATATATATATGTATATATGTACATATATATACATATATATGTGTGACTGTGGAAGTATGTGAGGAATACAGTCAATGTCCATTGTATATTGTTATGAAAATGTTCTTAGGAAGCAGTACTATTTACAATGAACACACAGCAATTACATATTGTGTATCGTTTCTATTACATGCACCACATTGATCTTTTATAATACTGTCACCTATTTAAATATATTTCTACACTATTAAATCCTTTGCAAATGCTGTTAGTAAAGCAGGAGATCTGAAGTCACACACAAAAAAGAAAATTATTTCCTAGTGGGATAATGCATAAATAAACTCAAGGCTTAGTTCTATCCCTTGTTTGTCTGTTTGTTCTTACTCAGAAGATCGATTTCTTTAGCTATGATTCATGACACAGTGTTCTGTCCATGAAGTGTGTGCAGAGCCACATAATGGGTGATAAAACTCAGAAAGGCAAATTCAGGTTTGTGGTTTGAAACTATGACATGCCAGTCAGCTGCATAAGCAGGTCTTTTCACTGTCTAACACTTCTTCCTAAGTGTCAAAAGGCGGCTGCTACCTATCTTCTGCTACCAAATTCTAGCTATCATCCACATAGGGACATGTGAGTCCACTTCAGAAATCTATGAATTTAAAATGCAGACATTAAAATGCACTTGTACAGTCATGTGTACATGGGGAGTATAATTAGGATACTTGATATATATATATATATATATATATATATATATATATATATATATATATATATATACTTTTTTGTTTTTGGTAACCATTACCATCACAAGGAAGAGATTATACATCCACAAACCCTCTTTCTGAGCAAATGGAATACATAGAGAGAGTAGTACTTAGTGAATATTGTTTGGAACACTTGTTTCATCCAGCCTTCTGGTTTAAATTTTCATGAGGACATGTGGCTGGTTTAAGTTTGACTCAGAGGAGTTCTAACTGGAAGATTGTCTGGCTATATAAACTGTTCTCCTTCCACTGAGACCCTAAATGGGGGGGCAGAGTGGAAAGTTACCCATCGAGTGCTCAGTGTACAACCCCTTGCTTTTCTTGTCATCTTTGAAATTTATATCTTTTAATGCCCAGGGCTAATGTGGCAAGGTCAAGTCATATTAGGTTTTCACTAATGTCCCTTTGTCTTTCTGGTTTGAATTTGTTGGAAAAAATATTCTTGAAATGTCAGTGAAGGAAAAAGCTATACATGTTTAAGAAAAGGGAATCTATGATCAGGTTTCTACCATCACAATGAATGGTCATAATGATGCATGAATGGCTAGTTTTCTTGAATAAGATTTCAAAAAAGGACAATTTACAAATCAGGATTTTAAAAGAATGGCTATATGAAATGATAAAAATGTAATATTACCGAGATGTTTGAGCAAAGCAGAATTATTTAAATTGATTTTTAAAGACAGTCCTATTGTTTTTAAATTCTAAAGTGCCACTGGTCATTTTTTTTCTTGACATTTTCAAATATATGTCACCACGTAGCATTGATAAGTACACAAAATATTTTGAAGAAAGGAGAGTAACCACATTATGAAGAGTGAAATAATCCATTAGCTACTGAATTTTATTAGAAAGGCAAAGATTTACTATAAACATGTGGCAAAGTTATGAACATCATTTTTTTAAAGTACTTTTACGCTATCACCTGAGAAATTAAAATTTCATATCTTTAAAGTTTTCAAGAACATGGTCAGGATGGAAACACTATAGGGTGAAGACTTGAATTCGATAATTACCTATCCACATGTTTTAATTTTGCCCACCTCCCTCCTCCTTTTCTTCAACCACTCTCTTCTTCCCTGCCTTTTATCTGTTTATCTTCTCTTCCTTTGCTTCCTGTCACATCCATATAACAGTTAAGTCAATTTACTCTCACGTTGCACAGAGAAGGGCTTGTAGGTCCACTTCCTCTTTTAGTGTTCTCTCCTCCTCACCCTGTCACCCATGAGACTCTTTTAAAGAAATGGCAGTGTACGGGGTTAGAATGAATGGTTGTATTGTGCTTGGGAGTGACAGCAGTGAGAGGCACTTTCTTGTGGCCTTATTATTTCGTGATGGGTTCGTCAGTGAAGGTTGCATCAGTAGTATCTTCTTTCCCTTTACTAATGCAGAACAGGGTCGTACAAGGGAGGAGGCAAGGTGCATACAAGCGTTGGTCTGTGCCAGACACCGTGACTCTTTGAGCCCCCATGCTGCTGTGTGACCTCTGACCTTAGAATAATAGTTGTAATAGTTTTAAATGCGTACACACATGAGAGAGAGAGAAACAGAGAAATGATAGAGGAGTATTAACTGTATTAGACTTAACTCTTTGTTGTTCTTTTTCTTTATTATTGATTATTTAAATTCCAATCCCAGTCTCCCTCACTCCTGTCCCCCTGCTTCCCGCACTACCCCCCCCCCCACCTCCCATCTGTTCCTTGGAGACAGTAAGGCCATCCCTAGGTAGTCTACTAAGTCTGTCCCATCATCTTATTGACGCAGGTCCAAGACACCTCTCCACCTCCACACCCCTGTATCTAGACTGGGCAAGGTATCTCTCCATATCCAATGGGCTCCACTAAGTCAGTTTGTGCATTAGTGTTAGATCTTGGAACTCACTGCCAGTGTCCTCATATATTGTCCCAGTCACACCATTGTCACCTATATTAAGGTAGTATAGTTCTGTCTTAATGCAGGTTCTCCATTTGTCAGACCTGAGTCAGTGATCTCTCACTAGCTTGGGTCAGCTGATTCTATGGGTTTCCCCATCATTGTTTTGACTGCTTTGTTCATATTCTCACTCTCCCTCACTGTGATTGTACTCCAGCAGTTGTGGATTTCTGTTATCTGCTTTCATCTATTTCTGGAAGAGAGTTCTAGTTTCCCTGGGGCTTTGGATTGTAGGCTGGGTATCTTTTGCTTTATGTCTGGTATCCACTTATGAGTGAGTACATTGCTATATTTGTCTTTCTGGTTTTGGGTTACCTCACTGTATGCTGGGTTTCTTTTTTCTGTCTATTTGCCTGTGAATTTTGGGATATCACTGTTTCTTACCTCCAAGTAGTACTCCATTGTGTAAATATACCACATTTTCTTTATCCATTCTTCAGTTGAGGGGCATCTAGGTTCTTTCCAAGATCTGACTATTTCAAATAATGTTGCTATGAACATACTTGAGCAAATGTCTTTGTTGTGTGAATGTGTTTCCTTTGGGTAAATGTCCAACAGTGGTATTGCAGGGTCTTGGGGTAGGTTGATCCTTAATTTTCTGAGAAACTGCCATACTGATTTCCACAGTGCCTGTATAAGTTTGCACTCCCACAAGCAATGGAGGAGTGTTCTTCTTTTTCTATATCCTCTCCACATAAGCTGTCATTGGTGTTTTTTATCTTAGCTGTTCTGATCAATGTAAGATGGAATCTCAGAGTGATTTTGATTTGCCTTTCCCTGGTGACTAAGGATGTTGAGCATTTCCTTAAGCGTCTTTCTGCTGTTTGAGATTGTTCTGTTGAGAATTCTGTTTAGATCTGTACCCTATTTTTTAATTGGATTATTTGTTAGTTTGATGTCTAGTTTCTTGAGTTCTTTGTATATTTTGGAGATCAGTCCTCTGTCAGATGTGGGGTTGGTGAAGATCTTTCCCCATTCTGTAGGGAGCCATTTTATATTGTTGACCATGTTCTTTGCTTTACAGAAGATTTTCAGTTTCAGGAGGACCCATTTATTAATTGTTGTTCTCAGTGTCTATGCTACTGGTATTCTATTTAGTACATGGTCTCCTGTGCCTATGCTTTCAAATGTATTTCCCACTTTCTCTTCTGTGAGATTCACTGTGGATCAATTTATATTGAGTTTTGAACTTGAGTTTTGTGCATGGTGATAGATATGGATCTATTTACATTCTTCTACATGTTGACAGCCAGTTACATGAGCACCATTTGTTGAATATGCTTTCTTTTTTCCATTTTATGTTTTTAGATTATTTGTCAAAAATTAGGTGTGTCTGGGTTGATAATGGGGTCTTTGATTGGATTCCATTAGTCCACCTGTATGCTTTTATGCCAATACCAAGCTGTTTTCATTACTTTAGCCCACAGGTGATCTTTTATTGTACAGGATTGTTTTGGCTATCCTGGGTTGAGTATTGTTCTTTCAAGGCCTATGAAGACTTGTGCTGGGATTTTTATTGGGATTGCATTGAATCTGTAGATTACTTTTGGCAAGATTGCCATTTTTATTATGTTGATCCTACCTATCCAAGAGCATGGGAAATCTTTTCATGTTCTGATATCTTCTTTAATTTCTTTCTTTAAAGACTTGAAGACATACTTCTTGTCATACAGGTCTTTCACTTGTTTGGTTAGAGTTACCCCAAGGTATTTTATGTTATTCGTGTCTGCTGTAAAGGGTGAATTTCCCTGATTTCCTTCTCAGCTCATTTGTCAGCTGTATTTAGTAAGGCTACTCATTTTTTTTTATTAATCTTGTATCCTGCTACATTACTGAAGGTGCTTATCAGTTGTAGGAGTCCTTCAGTAGAATTTTTGGGGTTACTTATGTTTACTAACATATCATCAGCAAATAGTGAGAGTTTGACTTCTTTTTCTCCAATTTGTGTCCCTTTGATCTCTTTTACATGGGCAATTAGTGCTATGAGCTGTTCTCTCAGCACTACTTTCATTGTGTCCCACAAGTTTGGGTATGTTGTGCAGTCATTTTCATTACATTTTAGGAAGTCTTTTATTTATTTCTTTATTTCTTCTTTGACCCAGTGGTGGTTCATTTGATCAGTGTTCAGTTCCCAGCCTCTTTAAATTTGAACATATACTGAGCAGCATCAGTCTTTTCTTTATTGCCTCTATTTCAGATATCACATCCTGAATAATTTCCTTCCCTCATTGGATTGCCTTTTCTCGGTTTTCATCAAGGGATTTGTTGATATTTTCCAATTTATTGTTTGCCTTTTCCTCCATTTCTTTAAGAGAATTTTTCATTTCCTCTTTAAGGGCCTCAATCATCCTCATAAAGTCATTTTTCCGGTCATTTTCTTCTACTTCATGTGTGTTGGGATGTTCATCTGTTATAGCACCACTAGTTTCTAGTGATGCCGTATTGCTCTTTATATTGTTGAGAGTGTTCCTGCCTTGTTGTCTAGGCATCTCTTCCTCTAATCTCTCTCTCTTTCTCTTTCTCTCTGTCTCTCTGTCTCTCTGTCTCTCTCTCTCTCTCTCTCTCTCTCTCTCTGTCACACACACCACACAGCCTGTTGAATTTGTTTATATTGTTTGTGTGTAGCATGTGACTTCAAGGCTGACACTGTGTTGAACAATGAATAAAGGACCTAAACCTTAGGGGAGGCTAACTGTCCTCCCAGAAGTCAATAGTTGCCTCTAGATTTTTTGTCTCGGAGAGGAACCCTGAAAATTTCCCCTTCCATGTTGAAATGTCCATTGATATTGCCCTTGTTCCTATCCTGTTTGTACGACTATTACTAGAACAAAGTGTTTCATGGCCTAATCTGGGTCTCACAATCTTTCTGAACTCTGTTTAGGATTTCCCCCAAGCTGTAGATTCTGATGCAGATGTATCCTTTGGAGCAGGGCTCTTCATGATTTATTTATCTCTGCACTGTGACCAGTTGTGATTTACACACACACACAATATATATATATATATATATATTGTCAGCATGGCAGGGAATATTAGAGAGGTTTAATCTAGTGTAGCCAGGAGGGGGCCTGCAGTAACAAAATGGAGGAGGGATGCTATCATTTTAGTTACATTAACAACATTTTTAAAAATCATAGGAATACCTCCCAAAAATTGTACCTTACAGATCTGGATCATGTGTTTAAACTAAGGAAGGAGAAACAAATAATGTAATTTTTGTATAACTAGATTTGTAAATATATGAAACAATATAGTACCCGGGTAGCTACCCATTTTAAACTGAATAGCAAATATACATCAAAGCCCATGGTATTTGTGACTGAAATTAGCAATTCCATGGTAATTTACTTTTTTAAATGAATCAAAATCTCCCATTATTGTAATGCTCAATGGTAAATTCTCTTTAAAAATGACATCAATTTTCTATAACAAGATTACTTACATTCTTAGGCTTAATGCTTTTTTAATAAATACTGTTACTCAACATTTTAATTGTGCTACATTGTATTGTACAATTATAGATAATTGTATATAATGTCTTATAATTATATAATTGTATTAGGTAAATGAGTTGTACTTGAAACATAATAACAAGAATATGCCCGTTAATTTTTTTCAATAATTTTTATATTTTGTTTTCAGTTTAACAACAATTGTACCACTGTTCCATTTTGTGTCTTTGGAAAAACTAGATGTCAGCAATAATTGTCTTTCTGGTAAGTGCGAATTTCTACTTATTTATTTATTTTAAATACTATGCTTTATTTTTTGCTTCAAATATAGTGAAGAGTTGTTTTGTATACATATGCATTTGCATATATGAAGTATATGCATATATGAAGTAGAAAGATTACTGCTAGCTTTTTTTACTGCTGGCTATTCACCCATTAAAATGTTAAAGCATTATGAATTGAACAAAGCCCTCTACAATGTTTTTCCCATGTACTTTCCAGTCAGCCCCCTCCAAGTAGCAGCCACAATCTTAATTTTTCACCATAAGCTATAAAAACCATATATATTCTCCTGGACTTTAGTTGGCTCTCTGAAGTGATTGGCCAGGGCTCATGATGTTAGCGTCAGGTTTATTAGAGCTTTGGGCTAATGTTGGAGTCTTTTGGGGGTCTTTTCAGCCTGCACAATACCCAACACTTTGCCAAGGCCAAGTGATGAATTCTCAAAAGACATCTCCAACATTCACGCTCTTCTTCTCAGTCCTTTCCTCCGCAAGTGCTAGCCTCATTTCTAGCAGTTTCCACTTCAGCTCAGCAGAACAGAACCGGTGTGTGCCACTGTTGTTTCAGATGAACCATAATATTCTTCTAGACAAAAAAATTCTTGAGATCATAAAACAACCAAAAAGGACATGTTATGTGTTTTCTTTCTATCAGATCCAGACTTAAAATATGTGTATGTTGTGTCTGTGTCACTGTGTGTGCACACAGCATACATGTTTAGTCAGTGTTGTAATATTAAAATGTGTTTCGAGAAAGACACCATGCAACAAAGTTCAAGCATCAGGTTTGTTGTTGTTGTTGTTATTATTATTATTATTATTGGAAAAGAATTGTAAAAGAAAGGGTGTTATGGGTGACCCTACTTGGACACCCTTTGGGGGAGGGGATGAGAAAATGCAGCTCCAACAACTCAGGCACCCGGAGTCAGTGAGGAGCAGAGGATGCTGAGGACTACTTTATGAAGGAGTTAGACCTTTCTTATACCCGCTCCCAAGGTGCCATTGGCTCAGGCGGCTGACTCTGCTGCCTGTCCTTTCCCCATTGGTGTCTCTGGTCAGGTGACTCCTCGTCAGCAGTCTCTGGGGTGGAGGCAGGCTTGGCTCAGGGAGGAAGTGTCTGCTGCGCTTGTGCATGCTGGTGCAGGCTGTCCTGGGCATTGGGTGCAGGGCAGCTAAGGCCTGGGCATCGGGTGAAGGGCAGCTAAGGCCTGGGTAGGCTGGCTGCAGTTCTCCCACATAGCCACCTTTTTTAATTTCTTTTTTGATGCGGTTTAGCGGGAGTCGAAGTTGTATCTTTGGCCTCATGGTCCCCGCCTAAGACCCGAGCTGCAGTTTTTCCTACAAAAGGGAGGAGATGGGGGACAGGAACAGTGGGAAAGAGTAAGGAGGGGCAGAGAGGCAAAGAGTGGGGGTTGGGGGAGGAGAGGGGGGAGAGAAACAGAGAGACAGAGACAGAGGGAGACAAAGAGGGACGGGAGGTGGACAGGCCCCTTTAAAAGGAAACACAGTGATTGCACAGCCCGGACAGCAGCTGAGGGCGAATCCTGTCCGAACCCAAAGAACAGGCCAGCACAGATGCCTGAACACTAAAGTTTCCAGTGGGAAATCAAGTCTATATACACTGCTCTGTAGAGTAACCTAGATTTGCCTAGGTTTATGTCATTGTGCCTGTTGATGTATTTAGATTTAGCATGTGTTGTATTGTGTTATATTTAGTGTCATAATTTTTGTTCTAAGTATAGTAGGCTATTAAATCATTATCTCATTTAGTCCCCACACATCAAAGACAGTCTAAAACTGGATTGTCTAAGTTCATGTAGTTGCTAAATGGTAGAAAACGTAATTTTATAACAGTCTGTGTTCCCCTCAGTACCCACTTTGCCCTGAAAGCTTGGGAGTACCCAACGGGAAAAATTAAAATATTAAAATATCACTTAGTTTTAACTGGGAAATTGGTGATAAATTCATGACCGTTTATGTTCAGATTATTTATGCTACTTGGCTAATTTTCATTCATTCTTTTTCTTAGATCTTTCGAGCATCATGTGTTGGTTCAATGCATGCTACTCTCTCCGTGAGCTTTGTCTCACCGGAAACCCAGTACTTCAGGAAATCAACTGGAGGTAAGGAAGCAGTTTTTAATCCGCGAATATGCTGTGTATCATTTTGTGAGACAAAATATGATACCAGTTTTCCTACAAAAAAAAAAAGTTAGTTACTTGAATAGCTTGTTACCTTTGGATGTTATAAAAATAGTTCTAAAGTATCATTTACATAAAATTTTTTCTCGCATATACATGAATTAATGCCAGTTTGAAAGTATGATTGTGATGCAAGCAGATGATGAAACACCAAGTTATTATAATATCGACTTAAATTTTGTTTTGACAGAGGAAACATTTTCCGTCGACTCCCTTTAGTCATGTAACTTAGTATTTCAATTATTTTCTCCTGAAATTGGACTGATAAAGTTAGACTAGACTGTCGTATTCCTTACTTGAAAACCGAGCCTAAATTTCAGTTAGATCAATTGTTGTAATATAATTTCATTATCTATAAGAAGAGATCCATTTATCTAGAGGGTTTAAAGTGAAGAAGTCTATAAAATATGGATTTGTTAATGAAAGGACTCAGGCAACTTTGATACAGTTGGTTTCGGTGAACTTTTCGTAACCCTATGGTACCAACAGAGGGATTAGTTATAGATTTTCCCAATTGGTTTCTTACTTTCATGTCAAGCCAGTGATAACATGCAAAAAACTGATGCACTGGGAAAAAAAAAAATCTCTTTTAAAACATAATCCACAGGCAACATTTGAAATCTCCTCTGAGACTTTGTTCCATTGGCTGATGATTAATGGAGCTTGCTAAGTGGCAGAGTGTGCACCAGGAAGTTTTCACTGAATGAAATATTGATTTGGCCCTTGAGTAGGAGGAGCCCAGCTGGAAAAACTAATCTTGAGACCTCACAATGTTCTTATACTTCATTCCCTACATTCATCAGCTTTCCCCATAAGCTCATACAGTTGACTGGTGAACTTAAGGGCATTCCACACACTATTGTTGTCTTTTGCGATTCTGAGAAGTCACCTTCAGCAATTAAAGAAGAAACTGGTTTTGTTTTGGTTTTCATCTGCCACATGTATTTATTAGTATTAAACTTTCACATTTGCCTCAGATAATTTTATCTTTAGAGAAATATAATTTCATAGCACTGAGCTGTTTCTTTTTTGTTGTTTTTTGGGGGGGATAAATTTTTAAATTTAAATTTGAAACAAGCTTGCTTTACATGTTATTTCCAGTTCCTGCACCCTCTGTCCTCTTCCCCTGTCTTCCCCACCAACTTCATCCCATCCCCTTTCTGCTCCCCAGGGAGGGTGAGGCCTTCCATGGGGAGTCTTCAAAGTCTGTCATATCATTTGGAGCAGGGCATAGGCCCTCCCCCATATGTCTAGGCTGAGAGAGCATCCCTCTATGTGGAATGGGCTCCCAAAGTCCATTCTCATACTAGGGATAAATACTGATGCACTACCAGAGGCCGCATAGACTGCCCAGTCCTCCTAACTGACACCCATGTTCAAGGGGTCTGGGTCAGTGTTATGCTGTTTTCCCAGCTGTCAGACTGGGGTCCATGAGCTCCCCCTAGTTCAGGACAGCAGTTTTTGTGGGTTCCTCCAGCCTGATATTGACCTCACTGCTCATCACTCCTCCAACTCTGCAACTGGAGTTTGGCTCAGTGTTTATCTGTGGGTGTCTGCTTCTGTTTCCATCAGCTACTGGATGAAGGCTCTAGGATGGCAAATAATGTAGTCATCAATGTCATTACTGGGGAAGGGCATTTAAGGTAGCCTCTCCATTATTGCTTAGATTGTTAGTTTTGGTCATCCTTGCAGATCTCTGGACATTTCCCTAGTGCAAATTTCTCTTAAAACCTATAATGACTCCCTCTATTAAGGTATCTCTTTTCTTGCAATCCTCTATTCTTTGCCTGACTCAATCTTCCTGCTCCCTCATGCCCACCTCTCCCCTCGTCTTCCTCCTAACTCCCTCTCTCTTCCCTCTATGCTCCCAATTGGCTCAGGAGATCTTGTCCTGTTCCTCTTCTCCAGGGGACCATGTATATCTCTTTTAGGGTCCTCCTTGTTTCCTTGCTTTTCTGGATGTGTGGATTGTAGGCTGATGATACTTTGCTCTGTATCTTAAATCCATATATGAGTGAACACATACTATGTTTGTCTTTTTGTGACTGGGTTGCCTCACTCAGGATGGTTTCTTCTAGTTCCATCCACTTGCCTGTGAATTTCAAGATTCCATTTTGTTTTTTCCTCTGAGTAGTGCCCCATTGTGTAAATATACCACATTTTCTGAGCTAAATTTCTTGTTGACATCTCACTTTGTTTGTTAGCCTATCTTTTGGCAACAACATACCTGAAGCCATCAACTTACATGATGGGAATATGTAATTTGGCTCCTGATTTCAGTTTTCAAAAGCTTCAGGCCATGGCTGCTTGGTTGCATCCCTATAGTCTAGTGTTTCAGTAGAGCATCATGCTAAGGCAGTCTGTGGAAGAGCAAGGCTACCAACATCCTGTCATCCAGAGAGCAGAGAGAGAAAAGGGTAGGAACAAAACATTCTTCACAGGTTCATAGTCAGTGAGCTAATTCCTAAAAGTAAGCTACTCATCCTAATATGCCCTCCAGCCGTGAATTTGTCAGAGGATTAATCTGCATCCATGGAAATGGACCTTATGATCTAATCACCCCTCAACAACACCATCAGCTGTGTGCCAGGCCTTCAATACATGAAGATCTTAGAAGACAGCGTAGAACCAAAGCACAGTGTAAGCAGAGTGTGATGATGCCAGCTTCTAATCTTAGCACTGTGTAGCACAGGCATGAGGATCATTCCAAGTTTGAGGCCATCTTGGGATCTATAATGAGCTTAGGCCAACCAGAGTTACATAGAGAGACCCTGCCTCAAAACTAACCCCAAGGATTTCTTCATCCTAACGACTCCACTGCCATGATTGACAAATATGGAAGGCTGAAGAAACTGTTTTTGAAAAACACAAATCCAATATGAATCTTAATTACATACCACACAGACTTTAACACACTGTTACTGTCTTGATCATCCAAGCAAATTTTTCCATCAAAAAAGAATTTCAAAATACTCTGATTAAAGGGAACTGCTTGGGAACTTTTGTATGTTAAAGTGAGGAAGACAGCATCAAAATATGCCTAGCAGAGAAATTCAAGCCCATCTTAGTGTTACTTAATTTAGACTCCCTAACTGAAATAATCTATGTAATTATATTTATATCATTAGCCAGATGGAAAGTATTTGGTGACAAAAAATACGAGTTTGTCCTTTTCTTTTTCTTTTTTTTCTTTTGCATGTTGATCCCAGTTTGCCCTCCCTTCCTCTCTCCCTTCCTCCCTCCCTTCCTCTTTCCCTCTCTCCCCCCTTCACTTGCACCCTGACCACCCTCCCCTACCATCCCCCCACCCCAATTCCACATGTAGGGGAATGCCATCCAGTTGGGGTCATGTAGATCTGACAGGTCATGTGAAGTAGGGACTAGGGCTTCTCTCCTGTCTCTAGGTAAGGCAGTTATCCCTCCATGGGGGATGTGTTAGCAAGGTCTTTTGTGCACCAGAAATATATCCTGGTTCCACTGTCTGAGGTCCTGACTCAGACCCCCTGAATATGGGTCTCAGCTAGAAGGACTGAGCAGTCTGAGAGTTTGTCCTTTTCTTAATGGGTACTTTCCACAGGAACAGCTGCCAAACAGTGACAACTTCAATGTTTTGGACCTTATCTGACACCCAATGCTATCCTTAAACTTATTTGATTTTTCTTTTAAAATAGGAAAAAAATATTATTTGATAATTTCATACAAAATATTTTTACTATATTCACTCCATTGCTTCCCAGATTGTACCCTTCTTACCTTCCTGCCCACCTGTCTTTTAGTACTCTACCTCCTACCCCTTCTTTCCCCTTCCCCTCCCTCACCTTGTCTTTCTCCTCAGTGTGTGTGTGTGTGTATGTATGTATGTATGTATGTGCGTGCACTGCCCAAATACTCTTGTATTTGTGGCTGACCTACCATGGGTTACACCATTAGAATAACTCTCAGTTAATCTCTCTCAGTCTCAGTACCTATCAGATGCTAATAGCTCCTTGGCTGGGGTGAGATTTTCTAACTACCATCTCCCCCCCTTTCAAGGATTTGAATGGTTTGAGCCTGTGCATAATGGCTAACATCTGTTTCTTCTTCAGTCGTTTGATATCCTAGATCTTCCAGTTCTAGATAGAGATTTTTCTAATGAATTTATTAATATTAATTAAATACCCTCATAGATTCTGAGACTGAATTGAATTTGTAATATAATTGGGGAAGAACTGCTGCCTTGTAACATCGAGTACTTCTATCCATGATTATGCCATGTCTCCGTTTTTCATTGCTATTGATCATCGGTGTCTTAGGTTTTCCATAATAAAGAGTCCCACTTCTTTTAATTGTTCAAGAAGTCTAGTTTTCCACTGGGACCATTGTGAAACAGACTTAACTGTATTGTGAATCATGTTTATACTTTTCCTTGGGAAAGGCTTGGGCAGATAATTTCTGATGGCTGAGTTTGATTTACAACTCTTGCTATCTGTCCTGTTGTTATACCTTTTGGGGTATGATCGAAAGACTAAATAAATTCATAACACAAAGGTTATATTTTAATGAGGCTTGATAAATGTTTGCCTAAATTCTAAAGTAAATAGCAATTTTCAGAAGTGTTACCTTTGTAAAATTTCTCACATCATTCTTGTAATAGGAATGGCATTTTTGTATTGCAAATTTCAGCCCAAGGTTCCAACATTGACTCTCTCATTAGCAACTTGACTTTATTATTCATTGTAAGATAAAGCTATAGGATCTATAAAACTCATCTTGTATATGACAGAATATTAATATTTTGGGTAAATTTAACTCGTTTTATTTCTTTAAAACAATCTTATTTTGCATGACAATTCCAGTTCCCTTTTCCTCCAGTCCTCCCATCCTCCCCATCATTAGCAAGGGATAACCAGCCTTCAGTCTACAAGCCCAGAGAAGCTAGGAACCAAGGAGGACCCTAACAAACACATAAATTGAGTTCTTTTCCAAGATAAGCATGCTATGTGATATTTTGTGGTTATTTTAAAAACTAAGTCTTTATGGAGATTTTGACTTCTTCCTTGTTCTGAATAGGCATTCTGTCCTTCAGCTACTTCCTGCCCTGAGAATACTCAATGGTGACATGCTGAACTCTCACTCTGATTTCCATGTTGAAGAGCAGCACTTCCATCAAGACCTAGCATGTTTCCTGGCGCTTTGTCAGTACCAGCTTCAAGAGTTCAACTTATTAACTGAGAAGTGTATCACACAGAAGGGGTGAGATTCTGATTTTCCTCCTGTTGTATTTAAAAGAAATAATGTAATGTAAACCCATAAGTAAATGTAATGATCACCACAGTGACACTAGTTTGATTAGAAGCAATGTGTCTTGGTATTTTCTACCATTACTATTATCTAATTGTCATATATTTTTCAACAACTATTTTTTTACAAGATTGTGTATACTTCAAGAATTCATAGTTAAAAGAGAGTAAAGTTTGAAAACATTCAAATATATGGCACTAGAGTACTATATTGTACATATGTAATATTTACATATTATCCTCTGTCATCACAGTGGAGAAAAGCTATCAGTGCTTATACACGTTCAGGGGGCAAATGCTGGGAATTATCCTAATCCAGTATTGAAAACTGAGAATTTCCTTTTCCTGACCTTGAATTCTGAATGCATTACAATGAGTAAGTTGTACTAATCAGTCCATAACACAAGTTAAATTATTCATTGCTCCAGAAAATGCATGAGCTTTAATATTTCTGATCATTTCACCTATAGTTGTCCCATTATAATGAGAAAAATAGCAAGTGCGTCTTAATGTTTGTGCAGTTCCTAAGCCATGTCTTGTTTGTTTCCTTAATACCTTTTACTTTTGAGATTATTATAGAATTATATAATTTTCTATTATCTTTCATCCTTCTAAACTTTCCCATGTAGCCTCTTGAATGGGGAAGGTCTGGAACCAGAGTCAACGAGGTTCATAGAACTATCTGATGAGTTTGCTTCATAATTGTTAGCCAAGAGAGAAAGCTAAAAAGACACCTTTTAAATGCATGGGCTTTTCTTTCTTTAATTATTGGTGTGTGTGTGTGTGTGTGTGTGTGTGTGTGTGTGTGTGTGTGTGTGTACACAAGACCTAAGTACTTAAATATAATCTGCTCAGTCTATATAAGGGCATGTATGTATGTTTTAAGGGTTGACCACTGGTATTGGATAACTGTCTTGTATGGTCAGTGTGCTCTAAGGGTGTCTAGCAGACTAAGTCATAATTTAATTATTACTACTTACATTGTTGTACATACTTTTATCAGTTCATTTTCTATTTGAAACTTTTTTGACCAGATGGATAATTCACATTCACATTTTCATTGCTTAAAACTAGTTTTTATGTAATAAAGACATTCAAGCAAATCATTGCTGTTTATTAGCTATATCTATAAACTAGTTATCAAATTGCAATTTATTTATTTACATGTTTATTTAGGAATGAGGTGGAATAGAGTGCCTTGTGCACACTTTACAAGTATTATAAACTGAGCTGCATACTCAAAAGTAAGAAGGAATAATGCAGGTTAAAATTGAGAATAAGAGTGAGGACTACTCAGGTCAAATCCTTTACATTTCTTAAGGTTTTCAAATGAGTAGATACAGAATTTTGATTAATTATATAGGAATAAAGCCCAAAATATAGAAATCCAACAATTGTTCAAGAACAGTAGTCATTTATGTTTGGGTTATCTTTGCCATGGATAACAATTGTCCATATAAAAACAGAAATAAGAATTTTACCATAATTTAAGTTCTTTCATTACACAACACAAATATTTTGTGTGACAAGAGTCAGTGCAGAAAATACTTTTAATTCATGAATAACGTCTCCAAATTTAGGTAGTCGTTATTTCTATCATGATAGTAAAAGGTTTAATTTTATTTTAAAACCAAAAATACAGTGAATTAAAATGGACCTAAATTTTCAAGTCTTTTGTCTTGTTTGATACAGATCTTAGTCTTAGTAAACTAATGTTTTGATTTTTATTCAAAATAGTATAAAATTGTATATAAATGATTAGAAGTAAATTATAATCTATTGTGTTGCCAATTTGAATCTACCTTTGGCCATGTAGTAAATTTTACTTTTAAAACCGGCGCATTTTTGTGTCCATAGGTGTAGGTCTACTTATTTAATGTTCTGGTCTTTTATTTGTTCAGGGACATTCTCACTTTGCATGCTGCAGACAAACTCTGTCATTACTATAAGAACTTAATGAAATTCAGTAATGAATGCAGACATGCCCATGAACATGGGGATGTGACTGTCATCAAAAGGGCTGAACCAGAAACCAAGAAAAACCACCCAGCCCTTTCCAACACCAACAGCACACTGCAAAACAAGGCCTTTCAGTCTTGCACTGACAACTATGAAGCAGATTCACCAAATACTTCTGAAGACCTCATGGACCCTGGCTGCGGACCTTCCCCACTGACCTGTAAAGAAGCTGAAGGAAGAAATCAGGAGGAAATCATGGTACAAAAGAATGAGCCCAGAAGCATAAATAGTCCCTCCACCAGAAGAGCCTCGTTCATGGAAACGAAGATGACAAATTCTCCAATGAGTAATCATCAAAGTACTGAACTCAGTGAAACAAGGTAAGACCTTTTTCTTTTATAGATGTTATACTTACTGCTTGCATGTGTGCCTTACAAGACACTTTGGACTTTTAGTAGTATTGAAATTGAAAGACTATGGGGACTTTGGCATCAGACTAAATGCATTTTCATTATGATGTGGGCTGTAGGGATAGGGAGATGGAATGTGGTGGTTTCCGTGAGATGTCCCACCTTGAACACTGGGATCCTACTTGGTGGTGTATTTGGGTAGGAGTAGGAGATACAGCTAAAAGGTTGGGATAGATTCTTGGCCCCTGGATTGACTTTGGAAGCTTTTGTTTGTGGTTCCTTTCCTGTAGCAGAAAATTTTTAGGAATTTTGCTTTCAGACTTTAGAAGCTTGGCTGGGTGGTCTTGCCCTCAGGGTCTTCTTCCCTTTGTTCCAAAGCAGATCAAGCCTTTCCTGAATCTTCTGTTTTCCCTCAGTACAAGCCTTGGCTGCAAGTCTTTCTCTTTCTCTTATGACTTCATATATTTCTTTCTGTCCACTTGCTCTTCTTTGTAGACCTGCACAACAGGGATCACCAGTCTTCACTAGACATTATCAGTCTCCGCTAACAAAGAATTTAGTCCATTCAATTTTAGATTTAGTCTCAAGAAACTGATTAGGACAAGGATAGAATTCAGTCATTTTATTTTTTCCAAAAATGTGATACAATATTCTAAGTTGCTATAATACTGTTCCCCCAGAAACTTTGTCTCCATGGACCAAATTGCTTTCTGTATTGCTCTCTTCCAAGCTCCTCCAAACTGTCTCATTAATCTCTCTTTACAGCAGTCAAACAATTTTGTAGTCCAAGACTCCAAAATCACCTATATTCCCACAAAAACGTGCAGGTTATTCACAAGATAACGCGCTCCCTAGTACCCGTGTAAGTTACTTTTCTATTGATGTGGTAACACACCCAATCAAGACAATGTGTAGGAAAAGGGGTTTATCTGAGGGGAAGGCTCCAAACAGATAAGACTCCACCCCCGTTAGAGCAAGGCATGGTGTCTGGAGCCCCAAATGGGAGTGCACACCGAAAACCTGGAGACCAACTGTTGAGATGCTCAAGACAATGGGGGACATCTCATTCAACCCACCAAAACAAACAGACATTTATTGAAAATGCTGTCAAGGAAATTTTGAGTGATGGAATCTGTTCTCCAAATACCTTTTAAGTCAAACTCAGGAATTCCACAAGAAATTAAGGTAGACTAGCTAGCACTTTGATTACACCCTGTACCTTGATAAAAATTCCTTCAATGGTCTCTATAAGAAAGGAAACAAATTCCAACTCAGGAGAGCTACTCTGTGTCTAAAATTGACACACTGCTGTTGACTATGACATGGTAGAATTTCCTAATGGGCGTATAAGTTAGTAGACTATTTTCAAGTAGCCAAGAAGTGAAGAAAAGCTGGTAAAACTCTCTTAGGGTCCTTTCTTTACCTCGGAGTATGTAAGAGTGTCAATTCCTCGTCGTCTCTAAGGCAGCCCATGGGGATAATCACCTAACCCTTCTTGCCAACTATATTTCTGGAATCCCTCTTCTGTATGCCCACACCACTCTGTAACAATGCCCTCATTATCTAAAAGAATCTCCATAACACTGTTCATCTTTAAGGAATTAAAACGAAATTTAAATGTCTCTCTGAAACTAAATAAATCAGTCTCTGAACTCTTGGTTCGTTTTCTCCGTCAGATTGGCTATCTATACTAGTTTACATTCATGATAAAATTAGCAAGGAAGGATTATTTTTTAAATGACATCTTATACTCTTTATACTCGTGTACAGGTCACAGAGACCTTTCTTATTCTCTGAGAGTTTCCTGTGAGAGCTGTATTTACAAAAATTCACCCCTCCCTTCTCTCTCCAACTCTTCCTGTGTCTCCTTTACTCATTCTCAAGTTTTTAACTTCTTAATTATTTGTTACACACACACACACACACACATATACATATATTATACATATACATATATTATAAATAGGACTTGCTTTATCCATTTAATGCTGTTCCTGTGTATTTAGGGATCGCCAGTGGGACTGGATAACCTGTCAGAGGCTCACCCCTGAATGACACTGATTTTCCCTCTCTCAGCAGGCATTTATTGTCTGTAGCTCTCCATCTAGGGGTGTAGCTTTGTAAGATTATCCTCATCCACAATAGCATCGCAAATGCTATTATCATTGTGGTGCCAGGTCCTGTTAGAGCGCCCATACTGTTGAGAGCCCATGGGTGCAATTTCCCTAGCAAATATCGAAGACATAGTGTGCAGCAGCATATGAAGACCTCTCCTTCCCTTCTGTGGTTTCATGCATACCAAGAGAGTTTTATTCTTCCTTTCTCTTTTTAGTAAGGCAGCTGTGTTAATCCAATCCCAATGGCGGAGTTACATTGCACGCAGACAGGTTGATTTCTCTGCAAAAGTGACTCCTACCAGTGCAGAACCCCTGCAAAATCCCTTCACCAAAACCTGGACCACTTCAAATAAAGGGAGAAGAGAAAATATTATGGATATCCAAGAACAGAGGGAGAAGGCTGCTCTTCATATTCAGGTTCATTTCAAACTTTTGATAGCGGAGTTAGTCATAAAAAAATATTTTACTCGTCTTTCACTCATCAGCTATTCTGTATTTCTAAAAGTCTCTGTGATTTAAAGTTACTTGAATTTAGTTTACACTTGCATAAATTTGCAGGCTTCAGCAGAATAGTTAGCAGGTGGCTATGGTTCTGCTGACTCCGAAGACTGGATATAGTTCTTAAATCTGAAATATTATGACCAGGAGTGTGGCTTAAGCTAAACCATATAATGATATATAAAACTCTCTCTGTTGCAGAAGTCATTTGCTTCCTTGATTTGACTTATTTCAAGATATTTTATGAGGCCATTATAAATTGGTTTGTTTCCTGCTGTATTTTTCAGTATGTTTGTAGTTGGTACATAAAAGGCTACTGATCTTTTATGTATTTCCATTTATTATTATCTGCTTTAGTTTCTTTTTATCAAATTTGATCAAATCCACTCCCCATGTCATCCTTTCATGTTCCCCCTCACTACATTTGCCTCTCAAGTTCGTGTGTTCATGTAAAGATACACCGAGTTTACTTAGCATTGTTCCTATAGCTAATGACTCTTCAGCAAGGCAGCAGAATACAAAATCAACATGAAAGTCAGTAGCCTGAGATGATCATGTGGTTTTGTCCTTGAGTCTACATGATTTACATATGTTAAATAATTTCATGAGTCTCAGGAATGACAGACTTGATTGTGAATGGTCTTGTTTATGTGTTCTTGAATTTAGTTTGCAAGTATTGTATTTAGAAATTTAAATTTATATTAGTCAGGAAGATTGATCTATCATTCTAGTTTTTGGTTGTTGGATATTTATGTTGTTTTGGTATTGGAATGATAAAAACATTATTTAAAAAATAGTTTTGGACTTTCCCTTTCTCTATTATGGAACAATTTGAGTGTTGCTGTTAGTTCTTTGAAGGTCTAGTAGGATACTGCGCTGAATCCATCTGGCCTTGAGCGTGTTTTAGTTGGAGGATGTTTAGTTACCATTTGCAGGTACTACTATCTCAATATAGTATTTGTCAAACCACCTAAAATTTGAGTAGTGAAAGCTAATAATTTGATATAACTGGTAGCAATTCTAGAAGCATATGTAAAACTCTGACAAAATTTTAAACTTCTAAACACACTTGCCTCAGTTTCAAACTTGGAAGTCAGGAAGTAAAATTGAAAGAGGGGGATTCTGGAAATAGAAGGATACAGTGGGCCATGGCCCAGAGAAATGGAGGGGAACAATAGGGGAAGGGAGAACCAATCAAAAGAAAGTATGTATGAAAAAGCCATAGGGAAGAATGCTACTTTGTATGTATTTGAATACATAAATAAATATATTTTTTTTACCGTAGTACCAGCAAGACCAGATTTCAAAATGTATTTAAACTTCATTGAGTACTTTTTAAATTTTTATTTATTTACTCAATGAAACTTTTTCTTATGTCTTTACTGCAGTTCATGCTTAGAAGCAGAAGTGACCAGAAGTTAATCAACTGTGTCTTTTAACTATATGGGATATTTAATGTCACAAGTGCCTGTTCTGTGGTTAGACATATGCTCATTACTATACATAAATTTCTGAGCTAATGTAATGTTTATTATTATATTTACATTTTATAATTTAAAATCTACAAGCAATTGGTTGTAATTTTATCTTTTGTAAATTGTGGGTACATTTACATAGCCATGATCATATCTTCCCACTGGATTTCAAGCCTCCATTTGAAACTTGTGAAGTCACCAGTAGGTACAATGTGCCTGAAAACAATGCTTTCTCTGAATCTATGTATAGAATTAGGTAGAGTCCCTTAACTTATTCCTCTGTCTTTGCGTGGCTGTTGGTGGGCCTGTTCTTATGCAGACCCAGTGCAGTCACTATAGTTGTTAAGACTTTGTGATTGCAATGGCAATAGACTGCCCAGGGTTTTGTTTTTTCTTTTCCCATTTTTTGACTTCATTTTACATTCCATCCTTAGCTCTCCCTATAGTCTTTTCAACCTACTCTTGTGCATTATTCCTTGGCCCTTAGAGTAGATAGAATACATGACTTGAGGCCATGCACTCCATTGTCATTTATTCTCAGTGCCTTATGCATCCATACGTGTCCACTTTCACTGAAGTTCACTGGAAAGGGAGGCTGGTGTGTAATTATTGTCTATGGGTATAAACATATATATTAAAGTGGTTCGATTCTATATAAATCTAACTTAAATAACCGAGTTCAATTTAAGCTTGGTGTAAATTGACTAAAATCCTCCAGTGAGCTAGAAATCTATAGATTAGGTAAAAGACAAATCAACAAAAGTACAAATTTGGCTTAAAAAATAAGTGAGAATATATTCCCTTTTGCACTCCCAGGCATACCACCTGCTTTTCCTGGAAATGACATGTCTGTCAGTGTGAAAATGGAATCTGAAGTCTCACCAACTTTTCTTGTCCTTTGAGATAAAGTAATGGTGCTGGTTCAAACTCATTATGTAGCCAAAGCTAGCTCTAAAATCCCAGTCCACTTGCAGTAGTCCTCCAGGTGTGAGGATCCATACAAATACCACATCTGTCTCTAATGCATTTGTTTCTACTTTCAAGGCTCTGTTGGGAGAAGCTAAATTGTATCTGTTAATGGACAGATTGATTGAGACAACTATCTTCCACTGGAGAAAGCAGGACAGGCGATGAACGTAGTAGAACAAGGACAGTGCTTGAGGAGGGTGCCTTGGGGCTGTGTGGAAGAATTCAGTTTCCACATCCCAATGTGAATAATGGATGGGTAGAGAAATTGAGCAATAGACATTTGGTCTTTCTGATAGTGCAGCCAGACCAGAAAGTAAGGCCCTGATCCCGGAAGCCAGGATGTCTCACAGATTTGGGGTAAGAATGGAAACATTGCCAGGCTCAAGTGTATACCCCGAAATAGCCACTTGGCACCTCGAGCAACCATAACTTATGTTTTTGCCCTCATTGCTGAATAGAACTAGAAAAGGTCCGCTACTGTTGTCAGAGAAAAGAAGGAAGTCATGGTGAAGATTAAGCACTTGATTCTTCATTTGTTCAAATCCCATAACTACAGAAAGCGTAGCGACCCTGGGAGACATTGTGTGTGTGTCTGTCCGTGTGAACATTCTCAAAGTTCTGCCTAGGACTGCATGTGCTAACAGCTGTTATCAGTAAGAGCAAATTCACAAGATTTTGTATGTGTCTGAATAGTACCAGGCAATGTATGGCTTTTCTATATGTTTGGATGCTTTTTGCTGATGTTTTTGACAATTTAATTACAAGGTAAGTTGAGTACAGAGTGCAAGAATGTATGGAATCTTGGGATATATCATTTCTAAAATGTAATTGTCTAAACTGTCTCCCATTCCCCTGACCATTATTAGACCATATCATTTTTTTTAATCTTCTGTATACCCTCATTATTCATTTTGTCCATTTTAAGCCCCTATTCCTGTTGGAATAGAAAATCCATTCACGTAGGTTTGATTGCATGTATTAAGGTCTACTATCTGTGCATAGCATATGAGAAACAATATATTTCAAAACCAATGGTCTTTATGTACTGTCCCAGATTTATATATTATGGGCCACATGACAGAATAGTGAACCTTTACACTGTTCATACAGTTACTTTAAAATTACATTTAAGACCTTAAATTTTCATTTATTTGACTTTTTATTTGCATCTCTTTTACTTCTTTAGAAAATCTGGTCACAATGGCATATTTAATTGTCCTTTTCCCTTTCTCTCTTTTTCTCTCATTCTTCACCTGTGTAGTGTGTGTGTAAGCAGATTAGAGGTTTTATACACAAATAATAGAAAGTAAAGAAGAAGCTCCCACACTGGGCCTCCCTCACACAGCTTGTTTATTCCAAATGCCCTGTAGGACTCACAATCACAGTGGCTTAGAGACAGGAACGAGAATGCAGTGCATTATAATAAAGGAAAAAGGATGCTTCGGGTCTGTTTTGACTGGTGGTTGATGCTGTAGAAGGATAGTGGGAGGGGCCTAGGGCTGAAGCAGCCATCTGATTGGTTTGTAAAGCATGGGTAGCATTCTTCAGTGAGGGTTACATTGGGATAAAAGTAGGGAGGCTGACCACTGTCACCTCTCAGCAGTTCTTGGCGAGTTGCTTAGGTTCTGATTCAGCTTCTTGGACTCTGCTCTGAGGACATTGTAGTCTGACTTCCAAGACTGCATGGAGCAGATATGGCTGCTTTCTAGTAATGAAAACAGACCAGAAACATTGTGTATTGCAATTATCAGGGCAACAAAAATATCAATAATATTGTTATAAAAAATCTGATTACTCAAAACTATTCTAAAATACTTTTCATAGTTAAATTTGTCTTTGAGGAGTATTTTTTAAGATTATAATAAATTAAATCCATTTTTAAAAATTGCTTTAAATACTTACAGAATTATACACAGAACATGAATCATGCTGTTATTTTCTAGTGGTTTCCTACTCATATTTATTTACTTTAGTTTTTAAGAATTATTGTGAGCATGCACATGGTTGATGGGAGATGTCATTATGTATATATGTTTCTCATACTGGTTAATGAATAAAGCACTGTTGGCCAATAGGAAAGCAAGAGAGGTGGGACTAGGAGACAAGGAGGAGAGAGGAAGTAGTAGGGAGGGGTCAGCATGAAGAGACTGAAGAGAGCAGATGCCGGCCCCATTCCCCGGTAAGATGAGACCACATGGAAGTACTTAGATTAATAGAAACCGGTTAATAATTAAGACATAGCTAGCCGATAAGAAACTAGTAACTGACCAACAGAATTATATCTAATACAGCGTCTCTGTGTATTATTAGGGGCTGGTGTGGCACAAGACCAGCAGGGAAAAACCTACTCTTAACACATGGTTTCAAATTCATATTCAAACAACTGTTGATTGATCAAAGAACTAAAGCTTTTTCTTATTAATGTTTGAGACAGGGCCTAGAATTCACTGTTAAACTGGTCTGACCTAGGCCTCACCTGGTTCCTTTGCCTCTTCCTCCCCAGTGATGGAAACCCAAGCTTCTGATGATGTATTGTTTAGATTCATATATAACCATTTAAAAACAACTTCATAGTTTAGTATTTTATTCTTAAATGTAAGCAATCCGACATCCACATGTACTTCAACATATTCATGAACCATACTGTTGGTTTTATACCACAGGCATCCTAAAGTTCAGTCTTACAATATATGAATATCACCTATTCTCTGGCGTCTTTACCATACTTGGGACACAGACTGGAGAGTGTCTCTGTTCCAGGATTGTTAGGGACCTGACTATTTTTAGTTGCATCATTCTATGTTGACTTAATTTTTTTCCCTGAAATTAATTTATTTTAGGCCATGATACTGCCTCCTTAATATGGTCATTTAAATACACTGGAGTTTTTCTAAATGAGCTTTGTCTTATTTTAAACATAATGATTTGAAAGTGAGCAAAACTGACCTTTGAAAAATGTCTTTCTTCTTGGTTCAGAATGGGTCCTGGAGGAATTATCAGATAATTGATTGGCTGACCTACATGTGCAGTGGAGGGGAGTGTTAAAGACACTTCTCCGCTTACCACAAAGGAAGTCTCTCGAGATGCAGACACATGTGGTCATTTAATTTATCTTGCAGTTTTACATGTCACATAAAGTTCAAGAAACAGATTATTGAGCCATTAAACCAAGTTCTAAGATGTTTTATCTTCCTAATGGGATAACACAGAGAATCTGGGGTAGGGTTTGATCTGTAACCCTGCGTGACATCCTTCACATTTTGTTCAGGCAGTTTGGAAGGGCTTTATTTTACGAAAGAAACTGGCAACGGCCCTGGAGGCTATCAGGAATGAAGAATCTGGAGAGGAATACGAAGAAATAGATTTAGAGGATTTTGAATATGATGAGGTGAGTGCCAACCAACTACAACATGTAATTATTGCTGCTAAACTATTGTTCTATACAGTTTCAAAGCTAACTCCTCAGCTGGTTGCTAGAAATGTTGTAGATAATCACCATCCTTGAATACATCCTGGCCATTTTGTGTATTATGAGACAATTTCTAAGATGGTTAGTAACATTATAAGATAGGTATTACTGCTACCTTCTACCCCTTTCTTACCCTGTCCTCCTCCTTTATACAATGTATAAAGTGGCAATGGAATGCTTACAAGTCATTTTGTCCTCTGGGACCAGATTCTCTCGAGGTTAATGCTTTCTTTAACCACAGTGAAAACACTGGAGAAAGTACATTGATAGAACATTATGTGTTTGACCTTATCAAATTCACATCTGTCCTACTGATGTCCAGCTTTTAGTTTGAGCCAGGATTGTATGTGGCAAGTACACGGCATATTTTCCTTCATCTCCTTTGAATGCAACAATTCCTCAGCTCTGTCTTTGCATTTCACAACTGCAATACTTTCAGTTAATATAAAATTCTACCTTCCTTCATGCTATGAAAATATAGAATGGAAATTTTGTTAAGAGTAGGTTTTTCTGCTGGACTGATGCCACTGCCATGCCAGCCACAAGTAACTCACAGAGTCACTGTATTAGGTATAATTCTGTTGGCCTGTTATTAACATTTCTTATTGGCTAGCTCTGTCTTAAATATTAACCCATTTCTATTAATCTAAGTATTTTTACGTGGTCTTATCTTACTGGAGAGAGGGCCTGGACCTCTGTTCCCTCCAGTCTCTACATCTTGACTCTCCTTACTACTTTAGTCCCGCCTATCTTGCTTTCCTATTGGCCAACAGTGTTTTATTCATTAACCAATACAAGGAACATATTTACATAATGACATCTCCCATCATGGAAATAAACAATTTACCAAATGTCCATAGTCGTGAGTAGTGTGATGACATCTCCCACCATCATTCTCCATCTTGTCCAGGATATGAGTTACCTGCTTTGGTCTTTGTGCTGTGTGTCTATAGCACATATCTTACTTGCTCCCAAGCTGCTTCTTAGCCAAACACTGCATAATTACATTGTTCATGTTCATATTAGGATTATTTCACTCTTATAGTTAGGAGTACAAAATTAATTGTGGTGGCAATTTTATTACAGTGCATTAGAACACTTGTCCTGTTTTATTATTCAGTATTGTTTTGAAACTCATGAATATTTAATAAGTTTCACTTTATCAGAAATATGTGTGTATATATGAGAGAGGACAGTGAATATAGGGCGTGACTTTATCTATGCTTTCATGTACCCAGCAAGGGTCTTGGGTCCTGTCTTTACTCAATAACTTCATTAGTTAATTGCAATTGTCTGGATGCATTTGAACACAGTGACATGTCATTGAGAATTCATTGTTTATCATTGGGAAAAATATGTAATAATAAAATTACAGTTACTTTGAAAATAAGTTAACTGCTTTTCAAAGAATATTTAGAGCTTAATTGTGATATAATTCTAGACTTGCTACCATGGTAAATTTATCTCTGATGGTTTTCAAAAATAATTTACCCAAGTTTTGTTAAAATTTCTAAATACCCTATATGTGTAACTACATCATCTACAAATAACAAAAACTATCTTCTTTTTCTATTTCTTATTCTTATATTTTTTAATGTTTCTTTATTCTCTTGATATAAATCAAATGTCCAGTGCAATTTGAATCATGGTAATCAGAGCAAGCATCGTTTTTTTTTTTTTTTCTTTGTTTCAAGATGGAAATATTTAACATGTAAAAATGATTCTTATTCATCTCCTTTAGAAACCTTGTGCATTAGGCAGGTGACACCTTCCTGACATTTACAGATTACAATGATGGTGGTGGTGATGATTCTATGTTCTTTTAATTTTACCAAATAGTTTTCATATATAAATCATTGGATTCCTGATACAAAACTTTACATTCCTTGAGTCAATCAATGCAGTTATTAATATCTAAGTCGTTTTGACTTGACACATTTTATTTAGGTTTTTAAATTTGCACTTAAAAAACTGTTGAGCCTCTAGCTCTTTTCAGGTTTTGGTGTGAAAGCTGTTTTGGTCTCAAACATTTGGTTTTGATGTGTTTTCTGCCTTTTTACTTGAGAAAGAATCTGTTTTAGGATTGGGAACTATTTATAAATGTCTGGAGACATATCCATGTCAACATAAAAGCAACGGGGCTAGGAGATAGTGCGTGTTCAGAGCAGAGTAATGTTTTAGAGAATCCACATTTGGATTCCAGGGCCCACAGGCACAACCAAACCACTAAACCAGCTCCAGGGACTTTGACTCCCTCTGTTGGCCTCCAAGAGCATTACATTCATGTGCACAAACCCAAACCCAGATACAGATACACAGTTTTTACAAAGAAAAAGAAATGAACACTCTGCAAGCAGTAAATGAATTGCTACCTTTTGTGTGTTTATATATGGTTGCGGGCACATGTAGAGGGCAGAGGAAGATGTCTGCTATCATGGCTGCCATCCTGTATAGTTCTCCAGATGAATTTTTTTTTTTTTTTTTTTTTGAGACAGTGGCTGTGACTGATGAGAAATAATTGCAGAGAAATCCCTGGGGGTCTTCTGTCACCCCACTGGGCTGTGGGGTTGCAGGTGTGTGCCACAGCTGCAGTTTTACTTGGGCACTGAGACTGGGACTCATGTCTTAGCTTTCCTTTTGTATCCAGTACTGTACTGATTGAACCATCTCCCAGCACAGATCGACATAATCATTTGCTTCTGTTTATAAATAATCATCAGTTATGGTTATGGGTATTTTTAAACAACTTTTAGTTTTTGTATGATAGTGCAGGGCTCCTTTTTTGAGACTGGTTAGAATGTATGTACTTACAATAATTAAATCATTGCATCATGGAGCCATCCATAATACAGTTTCCCCTTTTACTCTAGTTTCTATGCTGAACTATACATTTTAGGAGTACTTGCTCTATATTTATGCTGACACAGATTTCTTTGGCTAGAGCTTTCTCTGTTATTTTTTCCCCAATTGTCCCATTTGTTCTATGCTGAGTTTTTTTTTATATTTCATATTTTTTCATTTTATAAACGAACCCCAGTTTCTCCTCCCTCCCTTTCTCCCACCCCATCCTTCCCTATCCCACCCCTATCTACTCCTATGAGGGGGGAAGGCCTTCCTTGGGGAGTCAACAAAGTCTGGTTTATCAAGTTGAGGCAGGACCAAGGCCCTTCCCCCTGCACCAAGGCTGATCAAAGTATCCTACCATAGGGAATGGGCTCCAAAAAGCCAGTTCATGCACCCGGCATTAGAACTGGTCTCACTGCCAGAGGGTCCCCCAAACAGATCAAGCCACATAACTGTCACCTACATTCAGAGGGCCTAGTTTGGTCTCATGCCAGTTCCCCAGCTGTCAATCTAGAATCCATCCTTGAGCTCCCATAACTTGGGTCAGCTGTCTCTGCCCCCATCGTGATCTTGACACCTTCCTGCCTCCCATTCATATGATTCTTCCTCCCTCTCTTCAACTGCAATCCAGGAGTTCAGCTCAGTACTTGGCCCTGGATTACTACATTTGCTTCTTTTAGTTACTGAATATAGGTTCTCTGTTGACAATTAGGGTGGTCACTAATCTGATTGTAGGGGAAGGCCAGTTCAGGCACCCTCTCCACTATTGCTAGGAGTCTTAGCTGGGCTCATCCTTGTGGATTCCTGGAAATTGTCCTAGCATCAGATTTCTCCCTAACCACATAGTGGCTTTCTATATCAAGATATCTCTTTCATTGCTCTGTCTCTCTGTCTCTACCCCCACTTGGCTGTCTCAATCTCTCATGGTCCCATTCCCTATCCTTTCTCTTCTACCTCCCCCCTCCCAGTTTGCCCAGGAGATCTTCCCCTGGGGCCCTTCTTTTTACCTAGCTTCTGTGGGGTTGTGGATTGTAGTCTGGTTATCCTTTGCTTTGTATCTAATATCCACTTATGAATGAATACATACCGTGTTTGTCTTTCTGGATTTGGGTTACCTTACTTGGGATTATTTTTTTTTCTAGTTCCATCCGTTTACATATAAATTTCATGATGTCATTTTTTAACCACTGAATAATACTTTGCTTTATCCATTCTTCAGTTGAGGGGCTTCTAGGTTGTTTACCGGTTCTGGCTATCACAAATAATGCTACTATGCACATAGCTGAATAAATGTCATTTTGGTATGACTGTATATCTTTTGAGTATATGCCCAATGGTGATATTGCTCATTCTTAATTTCCAATTTTCTGATAAAACACTATACTGATTTCTACTGTGGCTGTACAAGTTTGCACTCCCACCTGCAGTGGAGGAATGTTCCCCTTACTTCACATCCTCTCCAGCATCAGCTGTCTTTGGAGTTTTTGATCTTAGCCATTCTGATAGGTATAAAGTGGTATCTCAGTGTCTTTTTGATCTGCATTTTCATGATGGCTAAGGTTGTTAAGCAACTCCTTAAATGTCTTTTGGCACTGAGATTCTTCTGTTCAGAATTCTCTATTTAGTTCTGTTCCCCATTTTTTTTTTAAATTACACTATTTGGTATTTTGATGTCTAGTTTTTTTTTAATTCTTTATATATTTTGGCGATATGGGGATGGTAAAGATCTTTTTACATTCTATAGGCTGTTATTTTTTCTTATTGACAGTGTTCTTTGCCTTATGGAAGCTTATCAGTTGCAGGAGGTTCCATTTATTGATTGTTGCTCTCAGTGTCTGTACTACTGGTGTTACGTTCAAGAAGTAGTCTCTTGTGCCAATGTGTTCAAGGCTACTGCCCACTTTCTCTTCTATCAGGTTCAGTGTATATGGGTTTATGTTGAGTTCTCTGATCCATTTGGACTTGAGTTTTGTGCATGGGGATAGATATGGATCCATCTGCAATCTTCTACATGTCAACATCCACTGATGCCAGCACCATTTGTTGAAGGTGGTTTCTTTTTTCCAGTGTACAATTGTGGCTTCTTTGTCAAAAATAAGGTGTTCATAGATAAGTGGATTAATATCAGGGTCTTATATTAGATTCCATTGATGCATGTGTCTGTTTTCTTTTCTTTTTTACTAATACCAAGCTGTTTTTATTACTATAGCTCTATAGTAGAGCTTGAAGTCAGGGATGCCTTTGGAAGTTCCTTTATTGTAAAGGATTGTTTTAATTATCCTGGTTTTTTGTTTTCCATATGAAGTTGATTGAGTAATATTCTTTCAAGATCTGTGTAAAATTGTGTTGGGATTTAGATAGGGATTGCACTGAATCTATAGACTGCTTTTGGTAAGATTGCCATTTTTACTGTGTTGATCCTACCTAACCAAGAACATGGGAGATCTTTACATTTTCTGATATCTTTTTCAGTTTCTTTCTTCAAAGACTTAAAGTACTTGTCATACAGGTCTTTCTTTCCCTTGTTTGGCTACTCCAAGATACATTATGTTATTTGTGGCTATTGTAAAGGGTGATGTTTTTGTGATTTCTTTCTTGACATGTTTATCGTTTGTATATAGGAGGGCTACCTATTTTTTTTTAATATTGTATCCTGTACATTACTGAAGGTGTTTATCAGCTGTAGGAGTTCCCTGATAGAATTTTTGGGGTCACTTAATGCATACTGTCATCTCATCTGCAAATAGCAAAAGTTTGATTTCTCCCATTCCAGTTTGTGTCCCCTTGATCTCCTTTTGTTGTCTTATTGCCCTTGCTATAATACTGAGGACTGCTATTTGAATACCAATATAGGGAGAATTTTTACCTAGAGTACTGCTGTTATAGGCCTGCTAGTGTAGTACTCCCAGGACAGAAAAAATGAGATGGTTTGACATGTACTTTAAAGGATGTTTTTGTTTTGTTTTGTTTTAGTTACAAGATCAGTGTACATTCATGCCAGGCCTGATAGCACCAGTAGGGGTCTTTTCCTAGTTGCCATCTTCTCATTGGAACCATTTCCCTTGCAACAAGATCACTAATTTGATGGTAGGTGGTGTGCTGCAACCTGTTATCTTTCCTTGAATACATCTACATAGCCATGTAGAGGGAGACGTTTCTCCATCTAGTCTGGGTCCTACTGGAACGATTTTTCTCTACCCTTTGGGCCCTCACAGCCATTTATAAACTAACAACCCTGAGGCTTAATATCTATTTATAATTGCTTGACTAATGACTAGGTCTCTCTTATAAAAGGACCAATTTCTATTAATCTGTGTATCATCACATGGCCTTGGCTTACCTGTGATGCCCTGGCATCTTGACTCCCTGGTGGCTACATTGCATCTCTTTGACCCCACCTACTACCTCTCTCCATCTCTGTTCTGATTTCTTGCCCGGCTTTACTGTTAAGCCATTGGCCAACAGAGTTTTATTCATCAACCAATAAGAGAAACACATAGTAGCAGCATATAGAAGGACATCCCCCATCATTGCCACTCAGAAAATAATTTTAAAAATTGAGCCTAAGTTTTGTTCGGAGTTTTATGTTGAACTGCAATTCTTTTTTTAAAGGGTAGTCATCAAATATTTTTTTTATCATCTGTCATAAACCAGACAATCCCCTCTAAATGTAAAAGTCAACGGGAGTTGACGGAATTGCTGACATGATTTAACAAGTACTTAATATTAGCAGCTTAAATATGTTGCAAACATTTGCAATATCTTGTTTTCATAACTTTTCCAGAAATATCAAAGCAAATGGCCTTCATGTCAACTCTTTCATTTCGAAGTCCGACTAACAGTCTCTCATTTCCTTTCCTTGCTGTGTGTCCCCAGAACTATAGCTACCATTTTCTTACCTTATCATCCTAAGATATGGGGAAGAAGGACACTCAAGTCTTCAGTGAGAATTCTCATGGCCTCTCCAATAATACTTTATTTGGGGATATTTACATTTCAATAATCTATTTGAAAAACAAAATTTGTATGTTTATTATTCACAACATAATGCTTTAAAACATCTCTTCCTGGTAGAATCAAAATGTTTATTTCATTGTCAAGTACGGTGACTAGTGTGCTTATTATCTTACCATGAGTGCAGCTGACAACCTCTCAGAGATATTTAGTAGATTGTCATTTGCAGTCATCACCACAAATTTTGACAGATTTCTTAAACTTTCTTCTCACTGCCCAGTTGCAACTATTAGACTCAGTATAACTGTGAGACAGATATTTGTATGTTAATAATACATAACAGGAAATCCCATAAAATGCTTAAGTGGTTCTAGTTGTCCTGTTTCCCATGCTATCGGAATACCATGAACTTGATTCTGTTTCCCAAGACTAATGCTCAATTGAAAGTGTTTTTACCTAGTCTACCAGTAGTCACTGTGTCTTTGGCCCACATTTTCAGTAGTCCTTCAAGGCAGATTGAATTTATGTGAATGGAAAACCCTGTTAATATCCCCTTAGATTATAGTCCCCCTAATTTTCAAAATGTTTGGCTGTTTTACAGCTTTGCCAATGCTAATCAGTGTTCTGATGGTCATTGTTTGTTGATAAAGAACCACAGAAGTTTATTCTGAGATATATCAGCTAAGAAAACCCAATTAAATAAAATTCAGATAGTTGTATCTCAAATGTACAGAACCTCTATAACAAATACAACTTCATTGAATAAAGAATAAGGTTGGGAACTATATAGGTGGAACAGCTATGATTCAGAATGAAGACAAAGGAGTTACAAAGTAGCAATTTCACACTTGAAGTATAAACTAACTTTTTTCCCCATTTTAAGAGTTGTGTTGAAGAATAATTACATGAGAATTGATGTACTATACATGTTTAATTCATTCTTACAAATTTCTCTTTTATGTCAACCCAAAATACTTCTGAAATTTGGAAAATAAAAAGTTAAGGCAAACTTTAGCTCATATGTAGTACTTAAGGAAAATTAGTTCTAATGTGTTACAATATTATAGTTTAACAGTGGTTAGTAGGAATTATAATTTGCATGACAGTGAGCTAAAAACCTAATACCTCTTGGTTACTTTTGGACTTAGCTGAAAGTGAGTAGTGAATAAATATGCAGAATAATATGTACCTCATTTTTAGAGCAATCAAATATTGGTTCTTTCCTTAAGCAGAGTGTGTGGATGAACGTCCCATCAGTGTTTTATAATGTGTGCCTTAACCAGAGGCACAGCCTCTTGCAAGAGCAAGTAAAACTTTCCTACAAATAAAAGTCCTCGTGGACCTTGTGGATATTTCTGACATAGTGTATAATTTCAAGGAAACAAGGTACAGGTTTGCAAGTTACACTTTGTCCATTCTAATGCCATCTTGTGCTGTGCAGGATGCCTTGGAGAAAGACTGGCCAGTTTTAGATTCCACCAGCTTCCGTTCACAAACACCGCCTCTCTCCAACCAGCTGCCCTGGCCAAAGGTAAAATGTCATGGACACTTTGGAGTACTCGATCTTTGCTGGCTTCTGAAGGTTCTGCTTCGCTGTGGTGATTAATACTGCAATTTATTGACTCGAAAAACATAATAACTTTTATAAGCCTTTGACTTCCTTCCCATCCCCAGATGTAATTTTTCATGTAGCTTTTCTTTCATTTGCTCTTTACTTTTTCTTTACTTTGGATTTCTTTCAACGCTTTATTTAACAGTAGCCAGAAAAAAAAAAAAAAAAAAAAAAAAAAAAAAAAAACAAACTGATGCGCTTCAGCTGCATATTTGGCAGTAGACTAAAATCACCAGTTGATGGCACTCTAAAAATGCAGAAATGCTCCCTCCCTGAGTGGCGGCAGCTGAGGATCCTCAGCCAGAGGTCGAGCGGCTGCAATATCTGCTATTTATTTGATAATCTTTGAAGTTTTTGTTTTCCCGAGACTTTTTAAGCTTTGCAATTAATCATTTTGTCTGCATGAGCTATACCAAAAAAAGCATATTCTTCCCCATTAATGAAAGAATATTTAAGCATGTTCTAGAAATTTCATTTGATTATCCTTTTAATTTTGTAAAGAATGCCCCTTTTGAGACTGCTCAGGTTTATACACGTTAGGTAACAATACGAATGCTGGAACCCTTCAATTTACTTTCCATTTATTTACGTTTTTAGAATAAGAATGCTCAGACTTTGAAACATGATGAAACTTCCCTCACTCTGCCAACTTGCCCAGCTCAGGCATGGCCATGCAGTGAGAAAGAAAATTTGTTTACATCTGAGCACACACAGTTAAGTAGCAGGTAAGCTAAATTACTCTGTTAAGTGGGGATCGGCTTGTGAATGACAAAGCCAAAAGTCCACATCCCTGTAAAACGTAGAGCAACGATAAAAACAGAAGTGAATCCATTGACTGCTTTAGAAGACGAAACACATGTAATGTTAAAATAGGGAAATTCTAGTGTTCAAAATGTGTGGAGGAGTTGCACAAAAGCAATGACGAAGCTTAGGCTTTGGCGAAATAATGCAGTCGTTGTACAAATGGATCTTCCTGGCTTGACAGGTAGAGAGGAGGTTTAGAATGAATATACCAGTGCCACAGCCCTTTCAGCAAAAGGACTGAAATCTGCTCCATGTAATTGAAATGTAAACACTTTAAATAAATGGAGGACTTTTATTACTTCTCAAGATAGAGCTCCTCTGTGGCTTAAATAGACTTGATTTCCAAGTTGGAGACAACATAAACAGCTTGTAGTTTTTTTGAGAAAGCTGGTGTCTGTTAAGAAAAACAAAAACATGCATTTCTGTTGGCAGATCAGAAAACAGAACTTTATCCTGGACAACCGAATCAAACACAAGTTGGAAGAGTTTACTGCAATCTGAAAAAGAAGAAAAAATTTCAGAAGAGTGGTAAGTCCTCTATTTTACACTTAAGAAAATAAGAAATTGAAGGGCTGCTGGAAATCCAAGGCAGACCTTTGGGAGTGGGGGTGGGGAGCACATTCAAAAAGTCTTTAAGGATCTATCTAACCTTTGCAATAAGTTAGGTAGGCTCTCCTGAGTGAGATTACAAATTTATCGGATGTGATATAATCGAAATGCACATTTCCATGTATGTCTATGTCTAAAAATGCCTTAGGTATTTTAAATTTCTTTCTTCAACAGGGGCTTTAAGGATATTTCTACAGCTCAGCAGATGCTAAAGAGAGCACAGAAAATGAAATCAAAAAAAATAAGGAAGAAATTAGGTAAGTCATGGCCTTTGAGCAGTAGCTGTGTGTGATACTTACTATAAATTTTTAAGTGAAGTTTCCTGTTATATTTAATATGAATTCAAATTAACGTACAAGTAACTATCTTTAAGATAGTAACTACAAAATTCTCAATTTCTAAAGAAAATTATGTTACCACATTTAATGATATATTTTGCCTTTTTATTTTAAAAATATTCCCTGTTTCATATGCATGGCTATTGACTTTTCTTTGAGCTGTGCACTGTGGCGATTTTGCTGGAATTTGTCTCTTGAGCTGGTCCATTCGTGAAATGTTGAGTCAAAAGCCATCTGCTTCATATACTCACTCCACTGAGAGCTCTCAAGTTGCTGGGTTAGTCAGTCAACTAAATACATCTGTTTGGTGGATTTTATCTCTAGAGATTTCAAATGGGATCCCTGGAAAAGAAACACAATTTTTTTTTATGATTTTTGAAGAACTTGGTAAAAATTGGAAGGCATCTTTTAACTTTTTTTTCCTATCCACTTGTGAAACTGTTCCACAAATCATTTGTCTTGCTTTGGCCATTTCAACTCATTTTCCAGGCTAAATATAAAAATGTCAGGCAAGAAATAACAAATGGCTATGATTTGATGACTTTTCTTAAAACTATTTAAAATTATCTACATATTGCATTTAACTTCTATCTTTATAATCTCATGAATTCATGGGCGTAATATAAGGCACGTGACTCTTCTAATGAGCAGTTTTGTTATAATTAACCAAGAAGAAAAACTATTCTTGTAGCTCAAAAATTACCTGTTTATTTTTATATTTATTGAATTCTGAGATATATATATATATATATGTATACACATATGTACATGTTTAAAAATTAAAATAGCAAAAATACTTTTTTCTAATAAATTAAATACTTATAACAGTCACTAGCTATAGATAAATTCATGATGACTCTTTTTTGGGTTTTTTAACATGTAATTTATTTTTAAACATGTATGTTATTGGTTATTTTAATTTGTATGTTCTATCCTTTGGGGATAAGTATAATTTTGCATCCCATCTGTCAGATAGAAAACACTGTACATTTAAACATATTACAATGATTGTAAGTTAGCGCTGTGCTTTCCCTTTGTCTATACCTGCTGTGCGCTGCTTTTGTAAGCCCTATGAAGTTCATCTGCTAAGAACCAACCCGTGCTATGGCTGCTTCAGTGAAACAGCAACTCCAAACCCCAAGAGTGTGGAAGTTCAGTCTGGGCATGTGCAATACAATAGGTATGAGGTAGTTCAGGAAACTTCCTTATTTCTTTGATCTATTTCTCTGTCCCTCTACCAGAATTTCAAAAGGAGCTGTTTTAATTATAATAATACAAAAATACAGAAACTCCTGAGCTAAGTTCAAAGGCAAAATGTGTTGAGAACTGGCCCAGTCACTATTCAACAGGGAATTGCATATTTCTCTTTAAGAAGTTTTGCTAGATCTTTGAAAAGAGGTAATATCATGGTTGCTGTCCCCTCTTGTGGAGAGAGTTGAGAAAATATTTATGTCACCAGAACTTTTATGATTCTGCCACTGGAAATGTCTTTGCGTCTGCTGTTATCATCAGAACCTTGCTTGTTTTGGTTGAGGAAGATTTGCTAAGTCAACATATAAAATACGTGTCAGCAAGCAATATCTCCGCACAGTTGTGTTTTTTTTTCTTATTATTTCACTTACTTAAATTAGAGCTCACAACTATATATAATTAAACGAAAAAGAAGTTTCTCTTTGTTGGTCACAAGGGGGCGTGGTAGGGTCAAACATGAGAAGGGAAGACCCACAGTTAAACTTTGTAACTCCATTTTAACTTAGAGTGTTGGCAGTGGTGAATCGGTAGGGTGTGTCAGGTCAAGGTTGTCATCTACAGTTGTGACTTTTTAAATGAAAATCGTCGACTGATTCTGGAATCCCAAGAGACTCTTTACCACTGAGTGAAAAATATCAATCTCTGCTTCATGGTTTTTTGTTTTTTTTTTTTTAAACATCATCATACATTAATGACTTGACTTTAACATCTAAATGCCTAAGCTCAGACTTTAATTGTGAGTCTCTCGTGGCTCTCATGGCTTCCCCCCCTCCTCACAGTAGACATGCCTGTTGGAATAAGAGAGGGTTAAAAAGGAGAGAGAAAATTGAGGAACCCTCTTGACTGATCACATGACCTCATTTTCATCTGTGAAGAAATTATTTAAGAGTTTGTACAAAAGGCAACAGGATTGAGATCCTGTTGCCTTTCCGATTTTCAGAATTCAACTGGCAATGCGTCATTAATTACTTATTTATGACCGTGATTTAAAATGTTAGCCACTTTTGCTTGAAAGCAATACTTAAATAGAAATTATGCTAAAGCGGTAAAGTTTCCTAGGAAAGTGTAAATGTTAATGGAGAGATAGTCAACACATCTTATGTGGGAAAACCCGCCAGTATGAAAATTTTTGGCCATGAGAGGGCAGCATTGTCCACAAAAGTGCTGGGAGACCCATTAGTTCTGTTGTCTAAGGTCGGCAGTGGGGTGTGTGTGTGTGTGTGTGTGTGTGTGTGTGTGTGTGATGTGTGAGACAGGGTTCATTAATTACACGCAGTCAACACTATTCTCTGTTCTGACAAAGCAGCGATCCTCAAGGAAGCCGAGCATACACACAGAGTACAGAAGAGTTAAGTATCAGCTATGTAAAATATAAAATAAGCTGGGCCAGAGAAAGCACTTAATATTTCCTGTTTGTGTCATTTACATTTATTAGCCAAGGAATGTGAATCAACAGTACTCATTTAATGGGAAAATGAAAACATGGCAAGTGCCATGATTTGCAAAAGTAGGGGTTAATGAAACAAATTCCCATTAGACGAGGAGAAGCGCTGGAGAAGCTGATTAATCACAAAACACAGTTGAGCACGAGTGAGGAGAGCTGGGAGAGAAGCCCCAGCGCTGATCTGCAGGCATAAATAAAGCCACCTGCCTTTAGGAGCATCAGGATCCAGTGTCCTGAGTAGCTCAGTTCACAGACCTTCAACACAGGTCTGGCTTGTTTCCTCTTACTTCTTTGATATAAAGTTTCATTTGCATAGGAAAAAATAAAGAGAAGCAGAGTAGGGAAGAATGGGAAGAATTGTTTGCCAGCCTTGAGAGGAAGTTTAAAAATGTGTGACATTAACTTTATCATGGTTTTCTCAGTTTGTGTTTGCTTTGTGGTTGTTGTGTTTCTTAGTAAGTGGTTTTTTCCCCCCCTTCCTGATTGACATCAGCTAGAAACAAAAGTGACTAGTCCTGTTTGGCTCATCATCGGTCTATCTGTTTCTTCTGCTGACCTACTGAAGGAGGCACAAAAGGAATTTCAGAATTTGGTGACCAGCATTGGAGTTCCCAGACACTGAGGAAAGTTTAAGGTGCAGCCCTTCCATGAAGAACATCATATGTAAAATGAGAGTTCCTGCTCTATTGAAAACATGCAGGGCCAATAACCCCAGGGCAGTGAGCATATGTGGGAGTAAGACTAGATGAGTGGGCTGAGGGAAGGGAGTGGGTGGCTGGTCTTGATGCCTGGCACTCTTTAGAGGGCTCTAAGTAGAGGGATTGGGCTGCATAGAAGCTGGAAAACCCAAGACTATGTAGAAGGCAGACATAATATGTTTTTCTCTGTGAGTTGAATTTAAGCCTTTGCAATTAAAGGAAAGAAGAAATAAGATGAAGCGAAATGGGCTAATTTATTTTTGAAGGATGGCTGACATGGATGAAAAAAATGGTTCTTCAGCCCTTTTTTTTTTAAACACCTAATACTGTCAAGCATATGATTCTCCTTTAGTGGGTATTTGCTGGTGTTATTTCCAGGAAAAATAGCGTAAGCCAGTTCATATCATTTAATCATATACAAGAAATTAGGTAATGTAGAAAATTAAGAAAGGCTCATTTTGTGCATTTTAAAGCTGTTCACAAGCTGTGTGAAATGAACTTCCACAACGGTAGTATAACTAATGAATTTTTAGGTGAGATGGATCAGGAATCATCAATATTGATCAAAGTTCACCAAAATGAGATTTGCTTAAGATTTATTTTATTTACCTCAAAGAATCCTAGAAATAACCAATAAGAATTTTAGCCAAACACTAATTTAATTTGTTGTGCTTCTAAAAGCAATAATAGTATTCACTTTGAATTGTAAGCAGTCTGGTCTCTACCTATTTTGCATTAAACTTCCAGAATCTACTAATATGTCTGGCACATGACTCAACAGTAAAGTACCTGAAAGTTACTGAGAAACAGTTAAAAGTATATATTTATTGCTTCCTGAGCTTTTAATCAATTGTGGATTCATATATGAGAAGTTAAATTTAAACTAGTACACAATATGCATGTATATGCAAATGAAATTAACACTAATGTCCTTCAAGATGGCCCAAGTCCATCCCCAGCCAAACTTGGCAGTGTTTTCCATATGGTGTTGTCTTTAGAGATCTGATGGATGCAAGAGTAAAGGAAACAGAGATTCCCACTTCATGTTTTCAGAGAGCTGATGAGAGCAGGCAGCATGTGACAGAGGACTTCCTGTGTGAAGGACCACCGAGGGCAAAAGACCATCGTGTGAGCTTATGAAAATGGAACCTAGACTTCAGTGAATACCGCAAGATGTTAGCTGCGGGATGGCTGCCAAGGAGATCTGTATACAGGCGATGGAGCCAGTCATAAAGGGATGTGTGTTGTGGGAAGCAATCTGAGGGAAAGAGGACCTAACCCTTTAGAATTAAAAAGTGCTTGACATGAGACAGAGAGTCACAGGATTTGGTCTTTGCCCAGCTGGGGTCTCGTCTTGCTTTAGTCCAGTATTTTCTGCTATGTATCTGTATATTTTCTGTGCCATTGTCTGACGGAAGTATGCCATTTATTTTACAAGAGGTTACAAGTAAGAGTTCGCCTTGAGCTAATGGAAGAGACTTTAGATTTTTCAGACAGTGCTGTGACTGTGGAAACATTTGAAGCTGAATTTATGAAAGGCCTCTTAGGTTATGGCCATAAGACTAGAGCCAAGGGGTTGGATGCCGTGGTTTGAATTGGAACTATCCCTATAGTCTCAAGCATTTCAACAGAACTGTCCCCTGTAGTCCCAAGCATTTCAACCCTTGGTCCCCATTTGGTAACACTGTTTGGGGGAGTTTTGGAGGTGGAGGAAGCATGTATGTGGGGCAGGGTATGATTTCAAACCTTTGTCTGCTTTTAGTTGGCCATGTATGCTTTCTGCTCTTGGTTCAAGATGTGAGCTCTCGGCATACTCCTCTTTAAGGGCCACGGCTGCTGCTTGTTGCCATAACTTTGCTCAGCTCTTATGGACTCTTGTGCCTCAGGAACCATAAGCTAAAATAAAGTCTCTGTTTTTAATGTTGGCTTTTTGGTCGAGGTGTGTTATTACAGCAGGGTAAAAGTAACTAATACTGTTCACTTTGAAGAATGCTGTCTCTCATGCAGCAAGATCTGGCTCTACCCCACAGCAGCTCACAAAAATGGCATGGTTGAAATCTTCTCAGAAGGGAGAGGCAGGGAGGTTGATGTTAAAAGCCGTCCTAAGTTAAGACCAGCCTACCTAGGCTGTTTAAGTCATTTTTTTTTTTTTTAGGCAAAATAAATACATTTAATGATATTTTGTGTAAGAAGAATGGCATTAACGTAGTGACTTGTCAGGGAATATTAGTTTCAGGTGTGTGACTTTTGTTTACGCCGCATTTGTTTACCTCTGCGAAGCTGTGTTACTGTGCCTGTCTAAACCACCTGATGGGCCTAATAATGAGCTGAATAGTGATAGGGAGGGAGGAGCAAGGACAGATGGGGCAGGCAGGCAGAGAGGATAAATGGGGGGAGAAACAAGAAGGAGCAGGAAAGAGAGAACAAGGAGAGGAGAATGTCAGGGTTCAGCCACCCAACTACGCCACTACCCAATCAGCCATGGAGTAAGAAGGAAAGTAAGATATATAGAAGTAAGAAAGATAAAAGCCCCAAGGGAAAAGGGTAGACAGGTCAATTCAAGTTAAGAAAAGCTGGCTAGCAACAAGCCAAGCTAAGGTCAGGCACGTGTAAGTTAAGAATAAGCCTCCCTGTGTGATTTACTCGGGAGCTGGGTGGTGGGCCTCACAGAAACCGCAAAAGAGTAAAAAACATCAAAGTATAGTGAATCCAAACCGAGACTGAGTAGAAACTGAGAAAGGATTACACAAGTGATAGATATTGTCATAGAAACTTTAGGAATGAACTCAAATTACATTACCTTAAAGAGAATGGTTACAAAGGTTACAAAGCATAACAACACACAGAGCCAACTGCATAAATAAAAATACCTGAAAATCTCTTTAGTTGTATTTAAAGGTATGTTGAATTTTTTACACTGGCAAGACATGCTAGAAGAGAGAAAGAAAGAACTTTTTTTTTTTCCCAGACAGAGTTTCTCTGAATTGCTTTGGAGGCTGTCCTGGAACTAGTTCTGTAGACCAGGCTGGCCTTGAACTCACAGAGATCCACCTGCCTCTGCCTCCTGAGTGCTGGGATTAGAGGCGTGTGCCACCAACGCCTGGCAAGAAAAAGAACTTTCAAAGTAACAATTATCACAGACAAGTATACTTAAGGATAAAAACAGACTTTAAAAGTGAACAATGTTGGATCCATAAGGCCTACCTTATTCTATGAATGATTAAAGGTATTTTCCAGTAATTTAATCATTTAGAAATGTTGCCATCATTTGTGCTGACTTACATTTCATTGTGGCATCTATTGAGTGACTACACTTAATGTGAACTTGTCAAATCTCACAGACCAAGTCTATGCTGGATAGACTGGGCAGAGTGCAAAACCAGTGTGCTCACATCCATACAACTAACTTAATGTGAACCTGAGACCTGACCCATGGAACAATCCATGCTAAATGATCCACAAGCTCTTCTCCTTACAGTAGCCCCTCTTCCCCTGGCTTCCCAACTCTACTCTGTGTTTCCTAAGCCTAAGAATGTTATTTTATTCACAGTGTTATTTCTAGGGACTATTAGTTCCATTTATTTTTTCCCATGTTAAATAATCATATTTCTTCTTGTCATTATCCCTTTCCAGTTGAAATGAATGTTGAATGAATCAGTTGAAGTGTTTTGAAACTAAAAGGATATTTGTATTGTGGTGGTAACCCACATGTGTTCTTGGGCAATAAAATAACTTTAATGAGTAAATTTTGTCAGACATGCATTCTAAATGGTTTATCTGTGCTAAATGCTTGTCTCTGGATCACAGTATGAAGGAAGTGTTATTGATATCCTTGCTTCACATATAAAGTCATACAGAGGGAGTGCCATTTTTTTCCAAGAAAGTTCCAAATAAAACAGTGGCCCATGCTTTTGCATAATATTTTGTTCACTGGAATACAAGCTAGCCGATGATGGATCCATCTACCTATTTCCTGTATTCACCAAGAATATAATTATTTGGAATTACATTGTGTGTGTGTGTGTGTGTGTGTGTGTGTGTGTGTGTGTGTGTGTGTTTTGTTGAGTGCCTACAAGTACACAAGCATGAGCCATTTCACCTTTGGAAAGTCACTATTCAGGTTGAAAAGAGACAGATTGGAAGAACAGAACGGTGTGTTCACATTCCGACAAGTAGTAAAATTTGGAACTGAACTCTAACCCAGTTATATACTATTGTAGCACTATCCTTCTGAAAGCAACAGAGATCAGTAAGGACACAGGAAGAAAGAAGACTAAGAAAGTTGAAAGATGGCCATGACGAACCACAGCAATGTTCCACAGATTGTCACATTAGCTCATGGAATTATACTTTTCTGAACTGACTTATGTTTCTTTTGAGATATCACAGATATGTGGATAGATTATATAGCTTCTTACCTGGGCTATGGTGTGTCTGTGCACTTATTATTATTGGTAATTCCCAGTGAGCTTTTGTAGGAACTTCTAGTGATTATAGGGCACAGATATCTCAGAATGGAACTTCTGTAGACGTGCTCGATACAGTGTGTGTGAAACACAAAAAACGAGCCTTACTGGGGCTCAGATACTGGTAGAACCCAACTGAGAATTGTCAGGATGTTCAGCACAGAGCATCTTTCCTCTCTGTACAGTCCTGATCGTACTGCTTTGTCATTAAACTATATGTGTGCTTTAGTATCTTTTATGTTTAAAATCTAGACGTTTTTGTTTGATATATTTAAGCCCATTTCACTAGACATTAATCAAGGATCCTTACTCACCTAGACTTTTTTTTTTCAAATAGTAAAAGATAGTAAAACCAATGGTGCCATCCTAAAATGGTGCTGTATATGAAACCATGCTAATACTAAAAGTACTTCCTTCCCACCAACTTTCATCCCCTGGTGCTTATATCACTGATTTCTCAGTCTTTGGGCAAAACCTCTAAATATTACAGGGCTAGGTCCCACTTTCACATTCTATAAAATTATTTGTTTTTAATAAGATAATGTAAGGCCTTACATTCACAGTGACTCCCCCCCCCCCCATAATATGACTGATTGATACTATTTGTAACTTGAAAACACAGAAAATCCATAAAACTTCTGTGTTCTTAAATACATTAGCATGAATTGAAATTGCCATGTTTTTAGGTGAAATCAACATTTTCTAGTAATGTTTTCTTGCTGTCTTGTTTCCCTCTCACATACGTGTTCTCTATAGAGTTTAGCGAGGATAGAGTGAGCATGTTTTCTTCCCTGTTAATCAAAAGCTCTTACTGGCTTGAGGGGAAGTACTACAAAAGGAACTAACATAATATTCGCATGGCTCTGAAAGAAAAAGATGATGCCAACTGGCAAAAGTGTATATGTTCAAAATTTCACAGTATTATAAACATTTCTGTCATTTACTAAAGGAGGGCCATATATTGACCATATGACTAGGAGTGTTCAAATGTTGGTCAAATCTATGAAGGCATTGGCATTTTCACAGTGAAATGTGCATAATTATTAATACTAGCATCAAGAAAACACAGGGTCATGTTAGAGAAGGAGTAACCAAGAGCTGGTTTTTCTTCTTTTTCATTAGAACCCTCTGTACGACTAGCAATATTCAGAAAACACAAAAGCGATGTTTCTGTTACAAAGTCATCAAAGAGGACACAACTCAGGAGAGATGACTACTCTGAAGGTAAGGGTTAATGAGAGACACAGAAAGATTTCAAAGGCCTGTAAGAATAGAAAAAATTTGCTGCAATGTTTTCAGCCACCATAAAACATAAAATATACATATGAACACATATAAAGCACACACATATATGTGTGTAAAATTTCCTTGAAGGAGAATTACATATATTTAGCAAAATAAAAACCCTATTTACATTGCTGATATCTTAGGATTTTTTTTTTATTTGTGTCAGTGTTTGTCTAGATTTTAAATACCTTTCATTATTGTATAAATAACCATGTAAAATTGCATCATCAGTTTTAATGTTGATAAAATGTTTACAGGTGCAATTATATTAACCTCAATTAGTGAGACTGATTGCATGATATTCTAATATTCTTACAGTTAGTATGTTTAAATTTTATTAAACAGTACAGATTATACTGTGTTTTTAAAAATATTTTCATTAGTGAAGGCTTTTTAGGTTTTAGAATTGAAGGTTTTCATATCTAGTTGTCACATTACATTTCTGATTTCATCATACCAAAGTTATAGACTTGTATTATTAAACAGAGCCACAATGTAACTTACCAGTTTTATAACTATTCGTAGGACTAACATTTTTTATAATTTATTCTACCCATACTTCCCAATACACATTTATAACAGAGGGAAAAAGGCATATATTTGTGAATGGAAAATAACTATTCTCTTTTGTACCTTTAATGTAATAAATCTTAAAATGCATGCATCATTAATAGTCTGATTAAGAATGGGTTCATTGTGCCTTGCATTTCATTATGTTTTGGAAGTCACTAAATTATTGTGATATAGAGAGACATATTAAAGCGTGTAAGGTGAGATGATATAGCATCTGCAGTTATTTGAAAGTCTATGACAACAAATACATATTTTAAATGATATGTAAAACATGTGTGTCAGTTTATTGAGCTTACTGCATGAAAAGATTATCACACTCACACATACACATACACACACACACACACACACATATATATATATGTATATGGTATGTGTATCTATTGTTTTAATATTTTTCAATTTTTCATGGTAAGACAATTTCAAAATGTAGTGTCCATTAGTGGTATCCACTCAGTATTGGGGATGAAGAGATGGCTCATTAGTTCAGAGCAGTAGCTACTCTCTTTTTATGCAATAATCTTTTTTATGATTTCTTAAATTAAAAACAGTCTTATTTTACATACCAATCCCAGTTCCCTCTCACTCCCATCTGAATTCAAATCCCATCATCTACCTGGAGACATGAGTTATCAATGACTCCAGTCCTAGGGTATTCAAACCCTCTTGTAGTCTCCTCAGGCACCAGGCGTGCATGAGGCACACAGACCCCATGCAAACAAAAGTATCCTTTTCACATAAAATTAAAAATAAAAACCTCTCACACTATACCTGAGGTCTGGGGGACTTGTCCCTACCAGCAGGAAGTAGTTTGGAAAGAACGACGCCCAAATTCCCAAATATTGTGTATAAATGTTTGTTTTCATTTAATTGGACTTTGTTATATAAAATTAAATAAAAAATACTCTATATGCAAAAAAAAAAAAAAAAATCCAATATTTTAGGAATTATTTTAATAGAATTAAATGCATTTCCAAAAATAAAATAAGCCTGAACTTTCAAACAGCATTCTTTTTCTTCTTATTATTATGTTAGCTAAAAGTGCACTATATTTATAAGTAATAATAACAATTGTGATAAAATTAGTATCAACTCCATAGGAAACTTTTGTTAAATAAAAACATCCTTAGTATAGAAGAATGTCTTTTCTTTCTTTCCTGCAAGAAACAAACATTTAGTTTAGAGCTGGCTTTCACAAAGAAGAGCTCTACCCTAAAATATTCTAGTTAGTGTATTCTCACTTGCTTCCCCTTAGATTGCATGAGAACGGCATGTTTTTCTATCTATGAATCAATATAAAATAAGCTAAGAAAAGTTCATAACAGAGACAGAAAATCTTCTATAGAACAGTGTTTGCACATAAGTTTAATCAGCAAAATTGCTTTTGGTTTTTTTCTCCCATGTGAAATGTGTTTGTTTTGGTGTTATGTATTTTGTTTTGCAATCCTCCTAAATATTGGAACATCCTTTATTCTATCGAATGAGTATTGTGTATATGTAGATTTCCTAATAGTGGGTAATAGTTATTTATTGTAATTTTTTTTTAAGGCGTTTGATTTTAAGGAATGGTCTACACGAAAGAAAATTTCTAGTTAATACATTAACATTTGTCTTTTTTTTTTTTTTTTTTTAAAAAAAAAAGAAGTGTAAAAGGTAAAATGCTTGTGGTTTTCCTGGTTGAACCTCATGTTGTCTTAAGTGCTTCCCTGAACTCAGAATGCACCGAGGCATATGTTCAGTGATACAAAGGAAAGCTTAATTTAGCAGGCTGACCAACTGAAGCTGCAGTGTCGTTGGTGCATTTTGAAACCAAGTCTCTTGAGATACAACTTGTATGCTATATAGTATACTTTTCAGACTATAATTCAATTAATCTTACTGTTACATAACCAGCATTGCCTTCCAGTTTTTGAATGTTAGAGCTTATTTTCCCTTAAGAAAAAAATGAAATAAAATTAATAGTGGGAATTTGACCCCCCCCCAATGAGGGAAATCAAAATTAAATTTGCTATACGTTTAAATTAAATAACTACATGTGGAATGGTATCTCAGAACTATGGTATGCCAGCATTGTTTTATAATTTTTTGATTTTCCTAAAATTAGATCATAGTATTATTTGAGTATTGATTCTATAATTCTAATTTATTTTATAGTAACATTGTATGAGTTATAGAAAAACATTCGTTTTCAATTTTGCACTCATGACCATGTGAAATGTCATGATTCTTGTAAGTTGTATAAAACGCTTTGATTATTACTATGACCTTTTTCTCTGGATGTCAAAAGACAAATGAAGATATCCAAGTGAGAAATATGGTTACCCCTAAAGAATACTTGATATGGAATTAATTGTGTTAAATACTAAAACATAAAAATATTTAGCATTCATCAGTCTATATTTAAGAAATACCTATTTATATAGTTTGCCTTGCTCATGAAATGTAGAAAATGTTTTTTATTTTAAGCCTAGTCAAGACTAGGTTGTGACCACGCCTGTACACAGGGTAACCGGAAGTATATGCCATGTGTCAGATATTATACGGTTCTTCCTATAGGACTGATGGCCTAAAGAATATAGAGATCCTTGCTTGCTTGCTTGCTTGTTAGGTGCCTATCTTAGTTTACCTCCATTGTCACATATCATTCTTGCTTGGGTTTAAATATCTAATCTTGCCTTCAAATTCAAAACTATATTCCCTTGAAAGTCTCTGAAAACAAATTTTGTTTTCTTTTATTTTAAGTTATCTGTTAAGAATCCTGAAATCACTCTTCCACTGACCTAAGAGGAAACAGAGTTGTAGTGTTATGTTTGCATGCCACAATTTGTCTAACACAGCCTAAATCATTTTTTAAAACTAGCTGTTTCAACTGTATGCTTTCATTATTTCCTATAAATAAACAGTAAATCAAATCAAGTGTGGCTAAATATTTGTAGTATAGCATTCATTAAACTGTTTTGCCGAAGAGATTGTCAGCTTCAATCAGTAGAAAATGGTACGTGGATGCTCATGTCACTATCCTGGATAGTCCCTATTGTAAGTTGTTTTACACTTTCTCAAATTATATACTTATTGATAAGTCATGATTATATAAAATTATAAGGAGAAATGTGGTATTTTGTACATGTCTACCACATGATAAGTTTAAGTTTAGCTAATTAATGTGTATATTACTTCAGCTGCCTATAATTTTATAGTGAAATATTTAAATTATAGCATTAGCTATTCCAAACTATTCTTCTATAGAATCTTTGACATGGAGTGGAACTCAACACCTAACTTTCCTGTCTAAGTTTTGGTCAGCAGCATCTCCTTCCCTTTACTCTCCCTACCTTGACTTCTGGTAACTGTTATTCTACTCTCTATGTTCATAAGCTCAGCATTACTGGATTCCACATATATTATACATGATGTCCCATTTCTTTTTTTATACTATAGTGTATTACTTACACTACTCTCCTTCAAATTCATTCATGTTGCCACAGTAATGGGATTCCCTTCATCTTCCTTAAAGACTGTCCAGTATTTCTTTGTGTATGTATACTATATTTCCTTTACCTGGTCATGTCTTAATAGACAATGCAGTTACTTACATATGTCTGTGACTATGAATAATGCAGTAAACACGGACATCTCTAACACACTGTCTTCATTTCCTTTGGATCATTGTGCAGCAGTGAGATCCAATGTTACCTCCACGTTCAGTTTTCAGAGGAATTTCTGTAACGTTTTCAACAGTAGCTTCTACTAATTTATATTCCTCTAACCATGTACATTTGTTTGATTGTCACCACAAGATGGCTTTTTCTCTTCTGTGTTTGTAATAAAATCCATCTGACTAAAGTTAGATAATACTTTGATTTTCATTGTGTGTTTGTTAATGATGATGCATAGATATAGAGACATCGACAATAGAAAGATGATAGATGGATAGATGATAGATAGACAGATGATATTTATTTTAAACCACCTCCTGTGCCAATGTCTTCCAGTACCTTCCCTGTTTTGTTTGTGGTCTAGTTTCAATTTATAGAAGCAACTATCCGGTCCACATTGTGTATGCTTGGGGCTTATGTGAAAAATGAGACTATCCAGAAGTGTGCGGGTTTGCTTCTGAGTGTTAAGCTCCACCTCATTGGCTCATGTGTGTCTCCATCCCAGTACTATGCTGTTCGGATGACAATCATTCACTAATGAGTTTGGAAATCAGGGAATTTGATGCCTTAGGCTTTGCTCTCTAAGCTCATGATAATTTTAGCTATTTTGTGCTTCCATGCAAATTTAATAATTTTATTCCATTTATGTGAAAAATAACCTTGGAATTTTGATACAATTACATGGAATTTGTCCAAAAGTTTTGTATG